ATCGAGGTTGATTCAGTAAAATCGTAACAATATGTAGGCTTTCAATTTCTATATTCTATGGAAGGCGAGGAAAACTTAAGAACGACACCCTGTATCCAAAACACATTAGCACAAAAGTGTATTCCTGAGAATTTATAAATTTAATTTTTATCGCAAAATTATTTACACATACATATATAAGAACTACAGCTAGATATTATTCATAAAAATCGAAGTTGAATATGGAATTTAAAGGAGAAAAACAAGTTAGGCTGATTATACAGGGTGACGAAAAATTTTAAATTTTAGAAATTTTCACAAGGAGAACATTTCAAGTATTTTTAGCTTCATACATAATTATAAACTGTACATGTATGTATGTATGCATGTATGTACATAAATGTTCGAGTTACAAATTTATGTATTTAGAACGAAAGCAAATATTATTTTTTTAAATGATAATTATGCATGTACATATGTATATAATATGCTGGTGCATACATACATACATATGGTATATACAGTGTAGGTGTGAAAAATTGTGTGAAATATAAAATACATATATGTATATGTATGTAAGTATGTATGTTTGTATGCATGTATATGTGTGTATAATTGTACGAGCGCGTTAATACAAAAAAATTTGTAATTCTACAAAGGCAATGAAAGCACAACAACAATAAAAAAAATATTTTCTTAAGACGCGTTCATCACTGCGAGTGCAATTGAGTTCAGCGAACACAAACAAACACATTTATATGTTTATTTACAACAAAATCAAAATATCAGCCAGCGCCAAGGCGTTCGGTAGTTTATTTATAAAAACATACAACAACTGCAATACATAAGAGCACCCAAACAAACAAAACTGAACAGAAAGTGGAATTAAATACAAGAAAAAAAAGTGTAATACTAAATTTGTCAAGCGGAAAACAAAAGTTTACCGTTATAACACGATGCATTTGTGCATATGCATAAACATACATACATATATATTTACGTGTATAAACATTTATTTACAGATTATATGAATTCATTAATAACAAAGTAATTTATGGTAGTTCCTGTAACTGTAAAAAAAATATTAAAATATTTATATATAGTAAGTCTATATATATAATTATTTTTTTTATTTTTTTAGCTTCTGATAACATTTTTCTTTTTCATTCAAGGTTAAAAGGACACTCCTTGACATTACTCAATACCGCTATATGACCTTGGGCAGGTTGTAGTTAATAATAACAGCATATTTGAAGTTTAATATGTTTACTTACAACAAGAACAACACGATTCATGTTATATTACTGGCATAAGAAGCTAAATTTTTGATAAAATTATTCTTTTTTCATTTCTGCTGTAAGTTTAATTCTTAACTCCCTGCGGGTTAGAGGTTCAAGAATACACCCACGGTAAGGTATGCCTGTCGTAAGAGGCGACTAAAATCCAGTTGTTCCCGCGACAGTCGGGACTTCATACCGGAACGAAGCGGATTTTTTCCGATCACGGACTGTCATTCCCGCAACATTCTCCAAAAAGTACTTTGGGGAATATTTTTGTGGGTGCAACAACAACAACACTGTTGTTTATAAACCAACACTCAAAATAAACATAATAGCAGCATACATATTTAACTCACAAAGAAACCAAAAATAGAAATCCCCACCTCCTGTTTAAATGAATAAAATAATTGTTTTTTTTTTTAATTTTCAGTTTTGTTTTATATTTTTTTAAATATTCATTCAATGAATTATAATTTAACTGCATACTTCTTACAGTCTCAAAATGTTATTAAGCTAATTATGATATTATCATAAAAAAATAGTTAATATGAATATGAGAAATTATGTAATACAAAATAAAGTCAAGCGGCGTCAGTACATTGCAGTACAGTTACAAATTTCGTGACGTCAAAATATTTGTGAGTTTACAATAGTTGATATAAAAAATATGGTATAAATGATTACGCAAAAAGGAATTAATTTTTCAAGTTAATAATAAGAAAAGGCAAAATATATATTACTTGCAGAAAAAGAATACGCGTGTCTACAAATAAGTTACTTAAATGCTACAATGTTATAACGTTACAGCTAATAACAGTATCAAGTATATTAGAGTTTAATTTTTTCAATAATTTTCAAATTTAAATGTAAGTTTCGTGTATATATATATTCTTTATAGTCAAAGAGCGCTGCGTGAACAGCCACCCAACCTGCATACGCTGCACATGCAAATGGCAGTTTCTGCAAGTTGCTGGCCGTCACCGCACGCCGTTAATAATAATACTCCGCCGCTGCAAGCGCTCTGCCTCCGCTATTTTTTTATTCCTGGCTTTTGTTTAGACCAGACTAAACTTGTTAGCCTGTAACTCCGCCTTTACCTTTTTGCTTCCTCTTAAATTCAGTATATGAGTAACTCCACCTCTATCCGCTTTTCGCTTTCTTTTAATTCCAATTTCTCCACCTTTTCTTTCGTATTTTTATTCAAAAAAAAAAATCTCTGCACTCGCGTCCAAAACTATTGTGTAGACTGTGGTTTCTTCTTACAACGCCACGTTTGCTTCTTCTTCTGCTTCTGCTGCTGCGTTTCCTTTTCAATTTTTATAAATTTTATAACTTTTTTTTGCTCACTAACGTTTTTGTACTTCTGCTTCCCTTGCCGTTGCCGTTGTTGCTGCTGCTGCTGCTGCTGCACTACGACCTCACTATTTTGCACCCACTCTCAATTTTTGGCAGCGCACGTCTTTCGATTATTATTGGTGTTCATAAATTTGGTTACTAATTTACGTGAATGTCCGTTAGGATCAAAGTGATTGGTATGTTCACTAGCCTCCTTCTTGCTACGTTGTTTGCCGCTACGTCCCGAAAAGATGTGCTTATCGTGGTCGAAGTTATAGTGCTCGTATTCATCAAAATAAGCCTCAGACATTTTGTTTTTAAGTTTTGGTTTTGACTTTTGCAATGCAAAAATTATAAATGAGATCTGGTTTTGTGTTTGTTTGTTGATTTCAGTTAACACTTCTTCTTGATTTCTCTATTTCTGACTCTTTCTGACAGGATAACAAATACTTTAAAATTGTACTTTTCCAATTTATTTTGTTTTTAGCTTTTTTCCAGCTAAGTTGGTTGTTGTTTAGCACGTCCGTACAGCACGAAATGTGTTATTCAATTAAACTGGATTTTTGCTGCGCACTTCCCTTTATATACCCATCGGAGAGCCGGTGCGAAAAGCGCCGTTTTTGACTTGTTTCTGCTGTTTGTAGTTTTGTTTTCGTTGGCATTGCCACTGTGTTGGATGCAGTGGTGTTAGTGTCGGTGGTGCATTGTTGTTTTTGGCATTTGCTTGGGGCTCGCTCTCTACAGTCATACGTGTATCTCTCGGTCACATAAAATGGGAGACCGGTTGGGGGCTCTATCAGACGTCTCAACGTCTGTTGTAGTATTTCTTTGTTTTTGAATAATGATTTTTTTGAATTGCGCAGTTTATTTTGGTTTTGTTGTATGGCGTTTTGTCGATTACATTGGTGCTCTTGAAGATACTCACATATATACATAGTACATTTACTTGATACATATACGTTTAGACAAATGTATGTAGGTATGCTTTTGCCTATTCCTCACAAACTGGCTTTGACCGCAACAGCTGAAAGCAAATGAGAGATAAAATCATAAATAAATAAATTCATGTATGTGAGCACAAATGTATTTACGTGAATATTTTCGTATATGTATGTGTACCTTTATAAAAACCAAAACAAAACCCAAACTACATACATACATACATACAAACTTACCTTTTTTTCATATACATATATGGATATGTACACTATACATATTTACTGCAGCTCAATCCCAGCTGCTATCATACGCACTTACCCTGCTTTCCATATACACTTACCTTGCTTTCCATACGCACAGGGTGCGTATCAGCTGTTCCAGAAAGTTGGAGTAACAACTAGAGTTGTTTTGATATTTAAAGTGCCGGCGCGTCGAATATTTGATTTTCAATACGGATTACTAATGTCACTTCAGTTCGAATTTCTAGAAAAATCTGACGCTTGGAAGTTTGGAGTTTGTTTAGCCAACTTTAGTATATACATATATCAGACACAGCCGCTATTTACAACACTATTAGAGCAACAACACTAGACACAAAAAGAATTCAATTTTTGATATAAATTTTATTCAAAATTAAATTATTGGAAAGCGAAACCACAAATCATATGAATTAATAATGCATAAGAAATTGTTGAAATATGAGAATTTATTTCTTTATTCATTAAAGATGGATCAAAACTGCTTATCCAGTAGCTCCGATATCTAACTATTTTTTTAATGCAAACTTCCAATATTTTTGTAAATCCAATTCAGCTTTAAATTTTACATACAAATGTACGTACACATGCATAATTTGAATTAATAAAAACTAATTTCATTTCCTCCCACGAATGCACAAATTGTAAATGAAATCACTTCCTCTTCCTGTTTGAATAAATAATCTGTTTACTAATGCCGCATCACATGCACCCAGCCTGGAAATTGTAAGCAATTCAAGAAAAAAAATTGCGAAAGCGGTCCTTGAAAGTATTATTGACACTAAAATAACTAGCAACCTTGAAAATGTCAGAATAAATCACCCACTAAACTACTTTCACATGTTTAAAAACATCAGCAAAATTATTAAAAATTATTTAAAGAAACAATACAGTGTTTTTCATGCATGCATACATACATTCATACGTGCATATGTATAAAAGGCAACGTGATTAGGCGCATATACACAAAGAGTTAAGAATCTAATAAAAATACCTTGACCGATTTTGTTTTTATCAATCTATTCGCCGGTTTGTTTATTTTGGTTTGATAATTATAACAATTGTTATTGTTGTAGTAAAAAGAGTGCAAATTAAAATATCGAATAGCCAAGAAGTTTGTAGAAGCTTACCTTGTAGCATTGTTTATATGTACGAGTATTTGTATGTTTGTTGTTTCGCTACTTAACAAATACAAATTTTTTATAGCTCTGGAATTTTCTTATCAAAAACACTTATGACTCACTGTAATCAATGGTATTTGCACAACTCAATTTGTCTGATAAGCAGCTCACCTTTGCACATTTCATTGTCAACAATAAATTGTTTAGTTTTATCGTTCTTACATCTCTTTCTACTCTGTGATAACCACTTCGAGGAAAGGCAAGGATATTAAGCTGAAATACAGCATATAATATAGCAATTTTATTAAATTAGTGCCAAACCGGGAAAATCTTCTGCAAAAAATTAAAAAATGGCGTCACTACTGAAAGAAACGGTAAATTTTTGATTCAACATTTCCGACCAGAATCTGTAGGGTGTTCAATATTCAGAACTATGCACTAATTAACGAATTAAATTAACGCTCCAATTGGAATTTTGTTTTTGTTAGGAAATTAAGTTCAAAATGTTATTTGTTATTCCTGACGGCGTAGTTAAGTGCAAATAGCAAAATTTTTAAAAATATATTTTGTTTTAATAAAACAACCATTACATAATTCATTAAAAATCCATATAATAATTAATCTAATTTTTATCCGGACAAATATATTGAAAGAATAATTAAGTATTTTGACGATTTTCAGCTCTATAGCTCATAACCATAACTTTCTGCGCCTACAGCAACGAATTCGCCAAGGTTGGTTCCATTAATAAGAATGTAGTCGTTTGAGCTACCCTGTGCGAAACTCAACGCTTCGTATACCACTCTGTAGTTTCGGAGAACAGGAAATTGCAAGTCTTCAGGGCGGAAATGAATCGTTTTGTGTAAATTCCAAGTAAAAATTATTTTTGTGAATCTTCGACTGTAAATATTATTCAGATTATTTTAAAATTTAAGATTATTAGATAGATTATTTTAAAATTTAATAAATAAAATACTAAAAAATTTAAATTTATTAGTTAAAATTTGTTATATCGTATTTATGAACGAAAATTTGTAATTCGACGAAAAATGAAAAACGGCTGAAATTCGGAATGAATGATAAATGTTTAGTGCTTATCTTAATCATTCGAAATAACAATAAATAATAAAAATGAAATCTAAAAACATTTTTTAATGCTAAAAGAAATCGGCACTACTTTCAAAAATTTAGAAGCCTATAAATTATTTAACAGGTAAGTTTTTGATTCACTTGCTAGTAAAAAATATGTATAAGTATAAGAATAGATAAAAAATATTTTTATCATTATAATTTATCATTATATTAAACAATATTGCCAAGTGTATTTTTAATCAATATTTTCGACACGTCCGCATTGGGTTTTGGCGCAATAGGCACAGGGCATTTCTTTTCTTGTTTCAGACTAGTTGTTTTGCGCTTGCGTGTTTTTTTGGGCACCTCTTTGGCTTTTAACTTTTCATTTTGAATGCTCTTTTTGCCGTCCATATCACCTGTCGGCAAAGGTGGTAAATTAAACTCATCACACATATTGTTTTCGAAAGCATTCTCAACTATCTCTGGCAGCTCCAATTGCACCTCTTTCTCCGTATGCACTCGTTGTACATGTTCCTTTACTTTGTCAGACCGATGACTACTAAACGAGCATAATTGACATTTATATTTATTTAAGTCGCCTGCTGAATGTTTCAGCGCATGCCGTTTGAGATTTTTACTTTGACTAAATTTGCAACCACAAACTTCGCATACAAATGGACGTTCTTGCTTGTGTGTCTCTATGTGTATGCGAAGATTTTCTTTACGATTGGCGTGATGGTTACAATCTGGATATGGACACTTAAAGAACTCGCCAGTATGCTGCAATTTATGAGATTTTAAAGCTTTCATATGTGTGGTACTGTAACCGCAAACATCGCAAAGCATCTTTTTCTCTTTGTTATGCACAAGCATATGGTTTTTAAGACCTTGTTTCCATTTGAAACTTTTGCCGCAGCGTTGGCATTGATGCGGCGTTTCAGTTGTATGCTTAGGTAGATGTATTGCGAGGGCAGCTCGATTGACAAAACGTGCACCGCACTCCAAGCAAAAGAAAGGTTTTTTAATATTTTTCTCATGATGTTTGATGTGTGCTTCGTATACACGCCACGCGAGGAAGCCAACCTCACATAGCGAACAGGTGAGGTGAGAGGGTTCGCAACTGCTCATATGGGAGATCATTTCCTGAACACGATAACATTTGAAATCACAGCCAATGCAATAGTTTATTTTACTGTTAGAATTGGTGGCACGTGGATTCTTCAACTGAAAATTTCAAATTTAATTATATTTACAAACTTATTTTCATAAAATACTTTCAAAATCACTTACTTTAAAAAAATTACTAGGATCCATAAAGAGATCTTTATTACACAAATTATTGCCTTCCTTCTTCTCGGATACGGTCTTAACATTTTCTGCTTCCTCTGCTTGTATGTCTACTTCTTCTTTTACCACCGTCAAGTTACTGTCATTTACATCTGGTGTCCACTGAGCACTCGGCATGTCAAATAAATTCATTAACTCTGTAACAGCTAATATCCCAGCCAACTGTTTGAAGTGTGCTTCATGATCTTTTGCAATGGACACCACATCTTCATAGAAAAATTCCATCATTGTATGTAGACATTGTGCACAGCTGAAATTATTTATAGTCACCTTCAGTGGATTGTGTATCGAAAATTGAAATGATTTTTGTAAAAATTGTGGACCGCCAATGAAACGACTTTGTGCGCCAACAACACAAAAGTGTCCATATTCCGCAATGCTATCATCACCAGCCACATCCGATTCCAATTCAATTATTAAATCACAGTATTGTCCGGAACTACGTTGATTATTCAAATAGTTGGATACTTTTGAATGTAAAGGCTTGTGTAGAGTTGGTAATAATTCTAAAGCTCCATTCATTATCCGAAACTTTTTCAACTTTCTAACAAGCTGCGGCTTTTATATTCTTTTGTTTACTTTTATTTATTTAAGAGAAAATAACAATAGCAGTCAGCTGTTCGCAAAGCACATGGTTGCATTGTGTAAAATATAAAGTTTCAGATATTAGGGTAGCCAAAAAAAAATATGAGAAATAAGTTTCAAACCGAAGGTCCATAAACTCAAACAAAACAGGGTGGAATAAATTTTAAAGCTATGATTAGACACAGAACGGGGGACGAGGAAATGAGGGCAAGACACTTCACGACCTTCAGGTGAACATTTTGTTGAACAAAATAAATAAATATAGAGTTTTTAGATTTTTCAGAAGGAACTCTTCAAATATTATAAATTGATTAAAGTCCCTTTAACGGCTATTACGTGCCTCTAAGTCACCGGGCTCCAATGGGCCAAGCTGTTCTCTTTTGTTATCATCATCTTAATTTTCTGTAAAAAGTAGACCTAATCGGACTTGATCGATCAGATATACCTTTTTGCTTGACCTATACTTGACGCACATGCATAATAAGGCATGATCCCTGATGGTTCCAGACTGTCTTCCATAAGTCCAGTTGTCATTAATATTGTGTATTCGGACATTGCAGATGATCTCCTACTACGAGTTTTCCAATTACCGCAGGCCTCCCGAACTGCTCGACATACAAACTCGTGGCCGTAATTTCAATCTGACAAGGATGAGTTAACAATTTATAGCCGCTGGTTTGTGAAATGAGAAGCGGAAGTGTCTGCGATGGTCGATGGTTGCCAGCACATATTGTCTTATCCGCCTTTTCATTTCTTCTATATTCGTGGGACCTGTAATATTTACTGTATTTATTGCCTCCTTATCTCAGACATTTAATTGCCAAAATTTCCGCTTGGCTGTCTACAAGAATTTTAATTGGTTCCTGTAAAAGCCCATTTGGCGCCTTCAGCAGTGCCCGATATTTTGGTTTGGTAGACAGAGTTATAGTCATTGAGTTTGAAGCGACTTTGGTGATTGATGGGATGACCGAAGAACTTTACTCTTCCCCCTCATTTTTCCCTGCAAAGGAAAGGGTAAATAGCTTACACCTGGTGGTCGCACTGTAGATTTAGCCCAAGTTCTATTATAATTTTCTATACACTGCCATTTCATTCACTCTTAGCATGTTAGATTCAACTATCTGGAATTTCAATGCGGCTAGCTGTTGGTCACTTGTCTGGACCTGATATCAAGAATGTCTTCCAGAGCCTTTATTACAGTAGTTCGCAAAGCACTTGATATACCCATAAAACAGTTACGACATACCCGTTCTAAAGCTTTGATCCGGAAGATCTCCTTTAGTCTCGTTCCTCATATGAGTGATCCATAAGTTAGTATGCGTCTTATGATGCTTGCGTTAGCCAATGCATCATTTGGAGTGCTTTGTTGGTTCGGCTGTTTTTCCGGCCGAGCTCCTACTCCAATTTTGTGGTTTTATACTAAGCCGCCTCCGAAAGGCTGATGGTTATTTACGGGGAGTCTTTATTTCTCCGAAAGGCTGATGGTTATTTACGAGGAGTCTTTATTTCATACACTCGATGAGGTGAACATTCCCAGCCGAGGGGCGACCGCAATTAGAAAATTTATTTATTTAAATTAATTTTCTATAATTTTTTTGGATGTTGCCGGCACCGCGATATGAACCCGAGCCTTCCGAATGTCAGTACGCAACACTAACCATTCGGTTACCGCGGCCGACATTATAGATTAATTTACGTAATTTATGGCACTACTCTCACATGGAGAATGTAAATTCTGCGTCACAATTGAGATAAAAAATAACACAGACAAAGGGTGAATTTTTTAGACATATGTTTTTCAGTGAGGCAACACTTTCTTCGGAACAAATCGTTTTGACAGCTGTTGCTCAGCTTGGTTTGGCATTTTATATTGTATTTGTTGGCTGTGTTTAATATTCGGACGACATAGTCGCCCAGCAGAGGGTGCATCGAAGAAGTCAAGTGCTGCTGTGGAGTTGAGTATCGAAGAAGATTAGAATGTCTTCATACGACATCGCGCGCAACAATTGGAGCTGTGCCTATCCACTTGCTTGTGGGCTTCCAAAATCCAATTTGCACGTTCCGAGGAAGTGCTCCTAAAAAAGATGGCCATCAATACCAAATTCTTTTCAGTGATAATTGCTTGCAACAACACAGGGGGCTACATGCCATTCAGCCTACGAAAAAATCAATTTATTGCATATATCTTTCGTGAGCCCATGTGAGATAATGGTCACGGGTCTGTGGCGTGGCTTCCCATATCTTGCTGGAATGTTTTATGTGAGGTTATGTGAAGTGGCTTGAAAGAGAATTTGAGATGCGATATTGGTGGCATAAAGCCCAAAAAGTGGCTGATAATTATGCCGCTCGGTTGGAATTTATTCGAGCCCGTTGCGACGATTATTTGCTCGAAATCATTTTTAAAACAAAATATCTTTGCCGCAAAACGAAATTCCTAGCGGTAGCATTAAAGTACATACGTTTTATTTCGCCTTGAAACTCACATGTCAAAAAAGCACCCTTTACTTATCTAGCATGCTGTGTGTAGTGATTGAATGTTTATAAACAAAGGAACAGTGTGAGCGCCAAGCGGCAAAAAAAAAAACTAAAGAGCCGTAATAAGTCGCGACCGTGGTAAGCTTCAGTGCGGAATTGGGGCGACACGTAGAAGGTGACGGTCGTGTTGGTGATACCTTACTTATGTGGAAAAGATAACGGAACTTTTGCGAAGTAATAAATAAAAATAAGTAAACAAGACTCCAAGAAAAGTGTTTGTAAATAGAGGAGTCAAGAGAACGCGCAGAGAAAGCGTTTTTTTGTTTTAAAGCGTTAGTTTCAGTCAAATTCAAACCGGAACCCGGAGCGGAAATGTGTAATCACTAAGTTTTTGTGCCAAAATTAATGTGCGAAATTATTACTTGGACCAAAAAGATTTGAAACAATAGTTGGAAAGTGACAGCAAAAAGCCTAAATACATACATACATATATGTCTTCCCAGTATAGTTTTAATTAATGCTAATTTGTAGCTTTGTTTTCTATCTAAAAATAATTCTAAAAAATATTTCAACCAAAAGTTTTGTTTACTATTTTAAAAAAATTCTAAAAAATATTTCAACCAAAAGTGATATACATACATATGTACATACATATGAGCATGTGTACTCAGACAACCCAGCAGTGGAAAAACCAACTAGTATGCAAAAAGTCTAGTTAAATGCTAGTATGTTGAAGATGGAATCATACCAGTTTGTTATTTTCCACCACTGCTTGTTGTTGTCATTTCGCTGATCGCGGCTGAATTCTCTGCTCTGCTCTGTTTCATTGAAGTACGCAAAATTACCGTTGCATCGTCATGACATCGTCATGAATGATTAGAGGTTATCGCTGTACCCCCTGCATGCTAGGGGCTCATGAATTTACCTGCGGTGAGGCATGTCTGTCGTAAGAGGTGACTAAAATCCAATAGTTCCCGCGACAGTCGGGTCTTTATACCGAATTTTTATCCGGCCAAGGCCTATCAGCACCGCAACAATCCCGAAAAAGTACTTTGAGGAATATTTTTGCAGTTACAACAACAATAACAGGTTATCGCTGTAGCGCTTTAAGCCCACGGTTCGAGTACCGGAGTCAACTTATTTTTCAAGTTAAATTTTTTTTAATATTTAGTGAAATAGAATTTTTTAAATCAATTTTTTTTTATTTTTTGGTGAAACAAAAATTTTTAATTTTAATTTTTTTTTTTATAATTTTTGGTGATACACAAATTTTTACCTCCACTTCATTCGTAGGTTTTGTTTTTGTTTTTAGTATGACACTGTTGAGTTTCATTTCGTAAAAAGTTCTGATGAAGTGCGCAGATTTCGTTCCTCCATATATAGTCTGCTGGTTAGAGGTTTTCACTGTGGTGCGCGCGGGTCTCGGTTCGGTTCTCGTAACCGAAAAAATGAACTTTATTTGATTTATTATTTCTTTTTTTGGTGAAGTAAAAATTCAACATGCCCAAATGAACTAGTATTAAACTGGTATGAAGCTGATGCATATTTGGACAATTGGCAGCTTGTAGGACATCGCTGTGTTAAAAAATACCAGTTGCTTGCATGGAAAATGTATGAAGATGAATTCTAGTTGACAACTAGAATTTTTCCCCGCAGGTTAAGTAAATATGTAAATGGAAACGAATATGAGTCGGCTAAAATACATTATTTAATTACTTTTGAGAACAACAATTCTTGGATATCAAACAACATGCATAGATAATTGCGATAATTATAATAAAAATACAATAAGGAAAGCCCATGTTCGGGTTGACCGTGAAATTTACAATTATAACCCGTTATAGAGGTATTACATTTATATTGTAAATGTGTTTTTCAAAAGGATTTTATTTTATTGTTATGATCAAAAATTGAGCTTTATTTATTTAATTCATGAAAGTGACCAACCTGTATGACCGAGATCCACAGTTTTCTACCACTTTTTGTAGCAATTGGGTTAGTGCGTCAGCAATAAGGAGCCGAATATTCTTTTCAAAGCCATCAATCCTCTCGGACTTATCTGCGACTTCACACAACTTTCCAAAAAATAGTCGAACGGAATTAAATTGCAAGACAAGCGATAATGCGCATACCAAAAAATGGCCACCCGAATGGCAGTACGAATGCCAATCAATCGTCTCCCACAGCCGCCGAAAAAATACCTTCAAATATGACATATAGCGCCTTGTTGAAACCAAAGGTCGTCCACAAAAACAACCTTCAATATTTAAGCATGAAAAAGTCATTGACCACATGGCTTGTGGCTCGATAGGATTCTCAATTGAATGTTACCTTATAGCCGACTTAACCTTTAACGAAATATGAGCCAATGATTACCTCCGCCTTTAGAGCACTATAAACACTAACTTTTTGATGATGAAAAGGTGTTTCAACACTGGCTTGTGGATTATCATCACTCCAAATGCGACAACTTTATTTTTTAACGCTCCGATATATCCAAAAGTTATCGGTGGCTACCTCGTTGTGGAGTCATTTACTGAACGTGCGAGGCGCTTGATGGTCGTTCTTTCAATTATTGCATGAATTGGATTTTACAAGCCGGAAAACATGGCTGGATGGATGGGCAGAATTACAATAGTTGCGCGCGTTGGTGAATGTACTTATTCGAGTCTTCTTCTATACTCTGCTTCACAGCGGCAATGGCGTTTTCGGAGCGCCTTGTGCAGCGTCTTGACGTTATTCCCTCTGTATGCTCTTTTTCGTAGTATATTATATGTTTTATCCTTTTCGGGATCGAGTGCTACTGAAAGCGCTGGGCAAAGACAACTTTCTTTTCTTTACTCCTCCTCTTCTTCTTATTCTTTTTAGACAGCGCTGGCACCGATACTCACGCGATTGTAGCACGCCAGTCTCTTTTTTTCATCTTTACGATTTACGATGTCAATTCAAAGCACCCAGTGAGGACTTTGCAAAGCACACAGTGAGGACTTATGCTTTGTCCACTTGGGCTTTCCAACGGAGTGGAGATCTTTGTCTTTTTACATAGAGAAAGTATTTCATCTAGCCAAGATAGCACCTGCTGTCTTAGCGATTCTGACGAGTCCTACAATTTCAAATTACGGTCAATAGTGACGTAGAAGTCCAGATTTAAGGGGCGTACCGATTTTTTTTGACGGCAGGAGATATTTGGTCTTATTCTCGGTCCCATTCGCCCGCATTCCTTATCAGTCTGTAGACTGAAGGGTTAAAGACGCGCTTGTTGAGGATGATAATGGCCGAGAGAGATATTCACCGATCTTGACGGGGTTTTTGGTGTTGCGCAGGGTCAGGCTACATAGCCGTATTAATTTTGAGGCGATACCAAATTCGGAGATAACAACGTGGGGCGCTTATTTTTCTTTAAATCGGCGAAGAGGTGGATCTCGATGGGTTTTCATTTGTGTTTTTTTTTTTTGCGATGTAGACTAGGTTTACATCCACGGGAGAGGAAAAAAGAGGTGTGAGCCCGAATGTGCTCCATAATACTCAACGAGTCGTTAGCGCCAATGAGGTTACTCGAGGCGTAAATATCTTCTAGGCGTAATAATCTTTCTTACTCGTTATAGACGCGTTGAGCTTAAAAATTACCAATCATAAAAACTGAATCGGAATTGCGCATCTATAATATTTAACTTCTGCTTATGGTAATTGCTCTAACTAGCGCCCCAGTGCTGCAGGTGTTGGTGGAATGCATTTATTGTATACAAGTATATACATACATACATATATATGTATATACTTCTCAGCATTATATGGAGCTAAAAGTAAATATGTATGTAATTAAGTACTTGCTACTGTAACTCGCCAATTGAGGTATGTAAACAGAATCAGCTCGAAGGTCTTCCGCGATCAGGTCGTGTACTCATTTTAGCGCAGTGTCACACAACTATTGTATTTGGAACGAGAGTTTATCTTTATTCACATACATATACATATATTCGTATATCTAGTCTCTCTTTTAAAACTATTTTTATGAATGAAATCTCGTAGACAAATTGAAATTTCAGCGTGTAGAAGCAGAAGATTGAGTAAGATATGAGTATACAAGTATGGGTCGTTGTGAGGCAACTAGATTTCTCAGAAAAATACTATGCAAGAAGTAAAAAGCTGCAATGAAAACTCGATTGGCGTGCAAGCTTAAGTCTCTTATAGATTTTGGCTATTAGGGTCACGCAGCTTACGCTCATAGCCTCTAGAAGAAAAAATTAATACCACGACGACGGTCTAATGAATTCCATTAGGTCGCCTGCAGATTGCTAACCTTATGAAAAAGAAACTATTATTCTTTTTATTAGAAGCACGCTCTGACATTGACAATCCTGTTCAAGACCAGACTCTACCTGACTTTTTCCAATCCTTTGGGGTCAGGAGATAAATAGTCTTTGCTATATATCCTATTTTGAGAAGTCGATTACAATATTTTTTGTAGACTAGGATTCAGGAAGTTAATAGAAGTCAGGTTTCAGTCGCTCAGCAACTTTGAGTTGAATCCTAGTAAAGGAACAGGCAAGCTTTAACCAACTGCATCCGGATGTATCCGGGCTGCTCGGCGTAGTTTTGTGAATTCTCATAATATTTTTTGACAATACACCCTCCCGAAAAGCACTCGAGCGGTTGTAAAGTGGTTAAGATTCTATAACTTTTGCCTGCCCTATTAATCCTCCTCCGATTTCTTGTGTACGTCTTAATGTTTTTCCAACAAATGGAGCGATCTACAGTTTATTCTAAGCCGCTCCGTAGGGTTGATGGTTTTTTATGAAGGGCTTTGAGGGTGACCGCAAATAAGAAAAATACGGTAATTTTTTATTTTTATTTAATATACTCTAATTTTTGGTGTTGATCGAACCAAGACTCGCAATCTAGCTTTTTGAATGGCAATACAAATGGCTAACCACTCAGCTATCGCGGCCGCCATGCCATCAACTCAAAAGACTCTAACCGACTCAGGCAATACACGGTCCAAACACATTACTTTTAGTCTATAACGTTTCGCTACAATGATGTCACTTGGTTTTAGCAGCTTTGTCTTAGTCGTTAAAATCACCAATTCTGAAGCTTCGAAACCATTCTCTGCATGACTTATAGTTCGGCGCAGATTCACTAAGCATCAAAACGTCCAATGCACGGTACTAATTACTAATAGATGTGAAACCTTTCCAATGAAATGCGTAACGCATCGAAGAACGCCCAAAACTTGTAGGTAGAGGCAGCTTTCTGAGGACGGTCTGAATTAATTTTTATCCCCAATACTTCTGGGGTCAAAATTTTATGGTAATCTCAAGTAACTTGCTTAGAGTCGCGTCCTTTTAGAATGAGGTATTTCTGATATAGAGATTACTGATCCCAGAAGTTTGGCTACTGACTTGAATTTTTGCCACCCAGATGCCATACCGATGTATTCAGCATACACATTTTCCTCAATTATAGTCCAAATTGAGCCTTCAATTTAAGGAAATCTCAATTATTTGACCAAATTTATCGACTAAGGAAGAAAATTTCATTACCAACTTACCAAGTTTGGAAGATTACTTTCCAAATGAAAAAAATTTCCTAGCGACTTCCTAGACTCTTTCCATGCTTTTGTTCAGTCTACGATCATCAGCTTTCCAACTATTATTTACTATTATTTTATGTTGTGAGCATCAAATTTATTATAAACAAATCCAGAACGCGTCCAACGCTCAACGCAAACGGTTGAAATTGCACGCGCAGCCAGTCGCCCATCAGCCAATTTGAGTGCGATCTAGTGCAAGTGATCGCGTTCGCTTAAGTGAATAACGAGCGTGGAAATAAAGCAAATATCTCACACGACAGCAAACGTGTAGTTTACAGTACAAAAATTAAGTGTAAACTAAATAAACAAACAGCTGAAAAAATACATGGAAAGTGCTTTAATTTAATTAAATTCAACGTAAGTGATCGTCGCCAACGAACAGTGAAAGTGAAACGTAAATATATGCAAAAAAGAAAAAGTGTAACATACTTAGGTACCTTAGCTTACACACGCCCTCCCTACTGCAGTCGTTAAGTTTCGAAAATGTCTGTAAGCAATATATGCGCAACGCTCAACGTACTCACGCTGTGCGCACTGATCGCGCCTACTTGGATCGCTGCACTGCCATACAACTACGATGACATATACGATTTGAGCGCCACGCGCCCGGAGCTGCAACCGAAAGAATTGAAATTGTGGTTAACAATAAGCGCGCGTCATCGATTTTTGGAAGTATCTTGGAAGAATGCACCTGCTCACAGCGACGATCACATACTGATCACCACACAGGTGCCGCAAAAGTTCGAGCGCGTTGAGGTCACAACCGGCACACCTTTGGCTGCCTTCGATAATGCAGAGGGTAGCGGTTTTGTGCCAAACGATGGCATTACCGAACGCAGCACCTCGTCACCCACGCGCTATCTACTCGAACTTGAGCGTGACCGCGCTTTTGACGCGCATTCGAATACAAGCAATGTTGCTGCTGTTGTTGAGGGTAGCGGCTATGTGGATGCTCCAACCGTCGCGCCGCGTACAACATCAACTATGCCAGGGCGCCTATATTGGTCTTCAAATGGTGGGGCTAATGATATTATTGCAGCATTACAACCAAGCGCCGCATCGCAATGGTTCACCACAGGCGTTTACTTTGATTATGCGCTCACGAGCAATTTGACCGCCAAAACCGGCTGCTATGGCTATTGGGCGAGTTATGTGAATGCCAGCGGGGAGATATTGGCTACCACCTGTTTTCGCGCCTATCCACGTTGGATGCGCGAAACGAGCGCACATATTGGCGGCATGCGTATGCGCGATCTCTTCATACCCGGCACGCATGACTCCGGGTCGTATAGACCGAATTTCGATCCCTTACTGCGTGAGACGCTCGTCACCAAGTATGCGCTAACGCAGGATGATGATATACGTGGGCAGTTATTGCATGGTGTGCGTTATCTGGATATACGCGTCGGTTATTATCGAAATACACCGGAACGCTTTTACATATGTCATGGTGTTACGCGTCAGCGCCCTCTGGCGGAAATCATAGAACAAGTGAAGGAGTTTGTCTTGGAGACAAATGAGATTGTGATATTCGGTTTGAAAGAGTTTCCGGTTGGTGAGTGCAATACACCTGTAAACTTATAAACATACATACAAAGAATTTTCAAATGAAATTTAGAAAAAGTTGTTATGTAAATAAATGTTTTTTTTTTAGGTTTTGGAAAAGGTCTGGGCGTTCATCGTTTGCTCGTCAGTTTCCTACAACAACACTTTGGCGATGTTATTGTTCATCCATCAGTGTCGTGGCGCGCCTCATTGAATGATATTTGGTCGCGACAGCAAAATGTTATTCTAGCTTATGACAAAGGTCCAGTCGTCTTTGAGTTTCCTCATACCCTATTCGGTTCGGTTGAGCAACGCTGGGGCAATAAGCAAAGTTGGTCAAATTTGGAAAAGTATTTGCGCTCAATCAGCAATCTTGACGTTTCGTAAGTAAACAAAAATATATATATGTATGTATATACTTTTAAACTATTATTTGAACATTTGCTGAAATAAATTACGTGAGAACCTCCAGTTCAGAACCTTACTCTAGCTCGTTGTCACCATTGAGTTGGTACTTTTATATCATCTTTCTTCCGGAAAACCTTTCCCGAAAACTCTCAGCGCCACTCATCACATTTGCTTACGTTCACGCTTCTGAATGCCATAGAAGAAAGGGAATGATAAGCGACTTGTAGAGTTTGGCCTTTGTTTGTGGAAAGAAGGTTTTACTAGTCAGTCCAAAGTAGCACCTGTTGGCAAGACCGGACTTCAAAGTCGTGACTGTCAACAGTACAGACGTGGGAGCTGAGTCATGCATGCGATGATTGTTTATTTGATGACAGGAGATATTTCGTCTTAATTTCATTCGCCCCAGACCCATATTCTTTATCTAGTCTAGAGTAGGTCTCACGTCGCGGTTGTTGCGGCCAATAATGTCAATATCATCGGCGTATGCCAGCAGCTTCACACTCTTATAGAACATTGTACCTTCTCTGTTAGGCTTGTATTTTTTTCTCCAGTGACAAATTAAAGAAGTCACACGATAAGGAGAGGTACTTCCCGATCCTGATGGAGCTGTTTGTTGTTGCTTAAGTTCAGTTTACACAACCATATAAATTTTGCGGAGATAACAAATTCAGATCCAGCGTCAGGTCTTTTCCGTGTCGATCCTCTTTTCATGGGTCTTTTCAAAGGGTTGACATTTGAATTGAATATCTATTCAATGGTGGATTTGCCAAGTCTATAGCCACAACGATAAGGTCCAATCAGATTGTTGACGGTGGGCTGTAGCCTTTCACACCATACCCTCGATATAACCTTATATACATACGATAATTGGTACAGACTGTGAGGACCCCCACAGGTTTGGTAGAATTTGTAAGTATTACTCCAGACGGACCACTTCTGCAACTCTTCATTACTCATCTCGCCTTCCTTCTCTTTTCCTGTGTGTATCTACCTCACCCCGCATGTATTGTAAGATAAGGAACCTGTTTTCTCTCCACTGCGGCACGATAATGTTCTCCGTACCAGCCGACCTTTTCATAAAATAAAAGTTTCGCTTGCAACTAATTAATGCTCGCTCAGAGCAAGAGAACAAGTCGGGTAGAAAATCGTTCGGCTGTCTGTTGTGAATACAAATTTTCGTCGTCGAACATTCCTTATGTTTGTTGACGGGCGTTCTTTGTTGCTATAAGATATTGGTTGGAGTCGGTGTTAGTTCCTCGGAGCGAATGCTTAACAAGAACCCTGAAGGCCAGTCGACTATCTATCACAACTTGATCCGTTTGATTGACAGTGCTTCGAGCAGAAGACAACCAAGTAACTTAAAATTTTTCTTGGAATTCAGTCCCGCAGAGAAAGATTTTTCAGGCTACAACGAAGTCGATCAGTCTCAACCCATTTCGTTGGATAGACTAAATTTTCTGACAGTTGTGCTGAAAATACTTTCTTTGCTCACAATTTTTAAATCATGACGGGAGCAGCGCTCGGGGCGTAGGTGCAAATAAGCGATGAATCGAAGAACATCGTTTTAATGCGGAAGCGAATCGCAGAACTCGGCGATTTCCTTGAATTGGACACTGTTGTAAGTGGTAGAAAGGCCTACTCATCTATATTCTTCTCCCCTACATCGTTCATCGGTTACTGCTTAATAAAGTATTTCCGGATATCCTCCACAGTTTTAGTTTACGTCCACATTAACTTGATTTTTGTGGGACTATTTGTAAACTCATAATTCTACGAGTCGTAAACTTGACCAAAAAAATCTCAATAGAGTCTAGACTGTTTGAAAGTGCATTTTGTAAAAAAAAAAAAAAAAAATTATACATTCAATTTTATTTACTTCCGTTACTTGTGATTACTTGTGAACATTTATCTTATTTATGATAAAATATTCCCACTTTCACAGCCGTCTACAAAGCCGTCCGCATGCCGATATGGCTGAGCTTTCGCCCGACACGTGGGGCGTTATACTTGATAAATATGGTGGGTTGCGGAAAATGGCTGATCAAGTGAATTGGCGCATTTCACAACTTTATCGCGATGAATTGGGTGCCAATGCCAATATTGTGGCAGTGGATTTTATACGTGGCACGAGTTTGGTGGAAATTGCGCTCGATTGGAATAAGCGAAGGGTAGCTTATTTTTAGAAGGGAATTCGGGGTAAAACTAGAATAAACTAGAAAGACAATAATTAAAAAAAAAACTAGTTTAAATTTCAAAATTATGTCATTATTCTACGAGATTTGGTGTTAAAAAAATTATGAAAATGTGAATTAGTAAAATAAATATATAAAAAATAATAATAATAAGAGTTAAGTGAAGGAACTTTAAGCTGATGTAAACACATATAAGTATATACTTGTATTATATTTCGATGTATTGAATTTTTATAAAAAAATATAATAAAATAACTAAATATAGACAGCGTAAAGAATATGCCTATTTTTGTATTACAATTCTAATGAGATATGACTGAAAAGAAGCCTTGTAAACAACAATGTATTTTTCTAGGTTCAATTTATCAAGTTTCAAGGGGTTACATGGTAAAATCTGCACATGACGTGGGTTTACCGCTTTCCTTGGCAAAGTATCTGCTTAGCCCATCCTTCACCAGAAGGGACAACAGCAGATGGCAGGGTGAAAATGCAGGGCAATGCAAGACAAATAAGGACATTCATCGAGTTGAACAGAACTAAGTCTCTACTCCTTCTAAAGCGTTCCCCCATAAGCATAACAACCGGCGCAATAATCGGACACTGGCTTAAGGCGACCCATGGAAGGAAGAGCCGCTTCTCAAACGACTTTTGCCGCAGCTGCAGGAACACAGACGAGGAGGAGTCGGTGGTTAAACTAACTAAGAGGTTGCAAGGGCTTCACAGCACCAAAAAAATCCAGTTTATTTTTATTACATTGATTATTATCCTAAATTATCGAGCCATTTCGAATGGAAGTTTCTTCGACACAATCTTTGAAAGATGCGCGCTCAAAAGCAAGTAGAGTCACCGCTCTGAGCTTTAAACGCGTTTAACTCGAAACTGTGTTTTCAAAGTCGTTTGCGAAAAGTTCTCTAAAATCATTCAACCGATCTGTATGATATTCTCAAGTCTTCGAGATCCAATTTACGACGAATAAATGTTGAGCAAATTTTTAACAAAATTAAATTGAGAGAGGGCTCTACATGAGGTATTAGGAGTTGATCAAGCAACCGATCCAGACTATTAAAATCAATAGGATTCATCCAGAAGCTTGAAAATCGGGTGCGTTATGAGTTAAAGCCCAAAGAAGTCGAAAGTCGAATCTGCATGTCGGAAATGTTGTTTCAACGCCACCAAAAGAAGTAATTTTAGCATCGGATTGTCACTGGCAATGAAAAATGGATTCATTATGATAGCCCAAAGGGTAAGATATCGTATATGAAGCCCGGCCAAAAATCGACATCCACGGCAGAGCCGAATATCTATGGTGCTAAGGTTGTGTTATGTAGTTTGTGGGACCACAAGGGTGTGCTCTATTATGAACTATTGAAATCGGGTCAGGTGATTAATAGGGATCTCTACCGAAAACAATTGATTCGTTTGAAAAAGGCCATCGCGGAAAAACGACCAGAATATGTGACCAGACACGAATCAACAATTTTTCATCATGACAACGCTCGGCCACATCTTGCAAGGGCACTATTTGGAAAACTGTGGTTGGAAAGTTCTACCTCACCCGCCTTATAGCCCAGACATAGCACCTTCCGATTACCACTTGTTCAGATCAATGCAGAATGCTATCACCGGAGTACGCTTCACTTCAGAACAGGGTATGAGAAATTGGCTCGATTCTTTCTTCATCTTCAAGCCGGAGAAGTTCTCTTGGGATGGAATCCACAAACTGCCAGAAGGATGTGCAAACATCGTAGCTTCCGATGGGCAATGCTTTGAACATTGAATGAATAACAATTTTTTCACAATAAAGTCTTAATTTTCGAAAAAAACCACATAAGTTAATGCATACACCAAAATATGAATATATTCTTTGTCCAAAACTATTTGTTTTCTTTATAAAAAATCTACTACATACTACTAATTGCATTTAATCCCAATTGATACACTTTGACATTTACAAATGGTTAAAGAAATTTAATTACTATGATACTTTTTTTACCTCACGTTGTTATATTATATATGCTTTATATTTGCATAAAAAATTTATTCCTGTTCATGTTTTTTAAGCTTAAATAAAAAAACCTGAGCATAGCCGAGTGTAAAAACTTTCATGCTCATAATTTCTTTAACTGAGAGGTCCAGAGCTGAAGTGCTCGGTCTATTCGTTTGTAACCCTGCATATTTTAAAATATTTTATTATCAATTTTTTTCAATTTAATTTAAAAAACACTTCCTTTATCATCCTGTAGTAAAACCTCGGCATATTAAAAATATTTTAAACATTTTTTTTTGGAATTTAAGTAGAAAACTGCCAATTCTTTTATTCAAAAATAAATTTTCGTTGAGTGGTAGTTTAAAATTAATTAAAATTTTTTTTTTGAATTTATTTTGCTAAATTTTGAAGTTGGATGAATATAATTTATAATTTTTTTTCATAAATTAAAAATAATTTGTTCTTAACAGTAAAAACAGCAGCAAAATTTGCTGAGCAAAGATGACGAAGTCCGTACCATAAAATATAGCTGATACTTGGAAGCGCCGCGCGGCTACATATTAATTATTATATTATTATTCAACGTAAAAAGATTTTTAATTGAAGTATTTCATTCATAAATTGTAATAAGTACCCTGCACGAAAAAATAGTAGTGGTTAAAGTGGTTAAGTGGCTTAAATTTTTGCTCTAACAAATTTATTTTCAACTATTTCTATTGTAAGTAACTGGATGTCCTGCGAACTGTCAATTGGCCGACTAAGCAACAGCTTTATACTAGTTAAATACTAAAGGGTGATTTTTTAAGAGCTATAGGAAGGTTTTTCAAAAAAAAAAAAAACCGTCAGATTCAGAAAAATGCATGAAGTATATATTTGAATCGATATTATGGTCCATATAATTTAATGTTTGAAGATTATTCCATGCAAATGTTGTCCGTGTCCATCTGCTTAGTACAATTTCGGCATACTATTTCCAATATTTCGGCCGTTATCTCATGAATGAATGCATCAATGTTGTCCTCCAATGTTTTAATTGAAGCGGTCTTGTCTGTATTCACAGTTACGCTACGATTCGCATCGTCTTTGAGAAAGTACGGTCCAATGATGCCACCAGCACATAAACCGCACCAAACTGTGACTTTTTCTGTATGAATTGGTAGCTCTTGCAAAAAATCGACAATTCCGCTTATTTACGCATCCGTTGTTCGTTTGTAAGACGATTCTTGACTAAATTATAGACCGAATTGAAGACGTTTGACAGTGACACAAAACACGAAACGTGCGTCAGCTGTTTCAACCAGTGTTCCCAAAAAGATAATAGCTAAAAACTCACCCATTATATACATACGTGTATAAACGTGGCTGGTCAATGCAAGTATTTAATTGGCAAATATAGACGCACAATTAAGCTTCTCGGCCATGGCGTTGAACATAGTTATTTATATGTATGTACTTACGTTGTAAGTGTGGGACTGTTGTGAGTTAATGAAAACCGCATTTGTGGTTGAGGCTGTGGTACGTAAATATGCATAATCAAAATTTATAAAATATATGAAAGAAGTCTCGGAAGGCTTACTTATCGGATGTTGACATCGTCCACGCTTCTACACCACGCTTCTTAGACAGGATGGGAATTATGGGAGACTTTTAATTTTTTTTAATGAGAGGACTTTGCTTTCCGATTGCCTGCCCAGGCGAAAGTTTCAGTTTCAGAGTGATTCTGCATTGGATTTCATTGCTGACATTATTTTTTGTGTTAATGGTGCACTCTAGATATAAAAAATTATCTACGAACTCGTGATTCGATGACTGTTTGTTTGATGACAGTAGATACAGATTTTGCCTTGGCTTCGTTCACTACTAAACCCATTCGCTTCTCTCCTCTCTGAACCCATTTTTCTAAAGATTGTGCTTTGACTATTTCCCCATTTCTCTGCAGCTCTTATTATTTTCTCCACCATATAATGATGAAATAGCTCAATTGATGGTAAATAAAGAAAATTATTTTAAACTTCTCTGAGAAATATGGCGCACAGAGGTTTCTTAAAACCTTATCTTAATTTTTAAAATAGATTATTCTGCGAGTGAAAGACCGTTGTAATTACTGATACCCACAAAAAGAACTCACAGCGAGAAGAGACAGAGAGCAATACGTCTCGCAAAAGTATAAAGGAATCGTGGTCTAGTGAATTTCGCTCTGAAGGAGATGACTGAAGTTATTAAGGCTACTAGCTAGAATGCTGTATAGTCAATTGGAGTACCATATTTTATAAGCCTCAGTCATATTGGCGTATCACAAATCAAACATGTGCACTCAAACGTGGAAGCCTGGATTCCTATTTGTGTAAATTACTAAAAGTAAGCTCAATTGACTTTAAGTCAATGAGGACTTGTAAACGATTATTCTTTCAGCTTAAAAAATCTTAAGTTAGAAAATGCTGGAGAAGACTAGGGTAACTTATTGTTGGGGCTCGAAACACTGCGACGGATTTTGTATTTATGATTTCTATATGGAAAGAGTCTCTGCCTGCCCATCTTATTTAGAAAGCCTCCAAATCCAAAGAAAAAATTTAATTTTGCCTGTACATACAAAGGGCACTAAGAGAAAAACTCAAGAAAAAATATTCAATGTGCTAATATTCTTTTTTCCACTTCCACTTCCCCTTCCGCGCACTTCCTATTCAATTACGTTCGCGTGCGCATCACGCGTATTCAGCTTCATATTGATTCAGTTCTTTTTCCCCGCCAAAAAAAAAACTGAACTCGAAATTTTGTGGCACGCACTGCAACAACCGAAAATTATTTTGTTGTCATTTTTTTTGGTCTCTAAAACCAAAACAAGCATAGTCGCTTGTCCACTACTCAGTCGTGGCAAGAATATACAAGCCTTGTTTGTAGATACATTTATGGCAATTGTGAGACTCGCTTCATGGCTTTAAAATAGCTAAATTTAAATAGAAAATAATTAGTGATTTCAACACTAACAAACAGTTTTTTGTTTATATACCGCACACACTGCTTGAACCAAGTCTAATGTTACTTTGCCTACCACTTGGCGCCAGCTAGCGGAGCTTATCTCTATGTCAAAAGCGTCTAGATTTAATATGAAAATGCTTAACCTTCTTCTTTTTTTATTTTTACCGTGAAATTTATGAAAATTCGTATAATCGTCAATAAGTCAATTCACTACATGTAGACTAAAATCAGTAAAATGATAATAAATAAACAAAATATTTTATACGATTTCACATTAACTCGGCACTTAGAGCTTTTTTGAAAAATGTGAGAAGCTTAATTTGAAATCTACTGAAGGTGAGCTCTTGTGCTTTGTCTTTGTAAAATTAGAAATAAATATTGTTCTAGACTTTATTACAAAACATTAATTAATTTAGTTGAAATGGACGGCCATCGCGTAATGCACGTACGGCACGCAATCTATTGTGCTGCTCAATACACTGTTCATCGATCGCACGCTCAACTTCAGTCGCCGACATTTGCTTTGTGGCCATCATAAATTCTTTTAAATCCGCCACTATGCGAACATCTAATTGATATATTTGCATCACACCCTGGCCAGCCAAGCATCGTAGAGGGCTGCCGGTAAGCGTATGTGTACCGAGCACATACGCATCAAATTTCAAATATAATAATATTTTCGTTATTTCCGTTCCAGAAATGTTCCAGTTAATACCATACAAATCGCTCTTCCTGAGTTTCGTGTAATTTGCGCCGAGAACCACCATTTCGCGGCCATTTTCGAACACCAATCTTCCATCGATAAAGTTTTTAATTTCATCAGGAATATTGTATGCATTTTGTGGTGATACTTCGAGCGGTTGAATCGGTGGTCGCTCTTGGTATGCATTGGCTACACGTTGTACGGCGGCCACCAACTCGTTAATTGACACAGCATGTCCCCTGGGGCGCCGAACGACAATTGCACTGGAACGCTGCTCAGTATTGATATCCTCCGTTGTACTCGATACTATGTTACATTGACATTCGTCTTGGGATGCTTGTCGTTGTTGATATTCGCAATAATTTTCAGGAGGGCTGCCGTTATTCCGCATTATAATATCTCAAGCTGATTTAAAGGCGATCTGCAAAGAGGTCATATACAAAGTATTGAATTTTAATTAACATTAAATTAAACAAAACGAAATTAATAAAATAAAATAAAATAAAATAAAATAAAATAAAATAAAATACAATAAAATAAAATAAAATAAAATAAAATAAAATAAAATAAAATAAAATAAAATAAAATAAAATAAAATAAAATAAAATAAAATAAAATAAAATAAAATAAAATAAAATAAAATAAAATAAAATAAAATAAAATAAAATAAATTAAAATAAATTAAAAATAAATTACATAATCAATTTTAATAAAATAAAATAAAGTAAAATTAAACAAAATAAAATTAAATAAAATTAAAAAAATTAAATAAAATCTTAATTAAATTAAGTTAACTAAAATTAAATTAAAGTAAATACAATAAGACAAATTTCTATTAAAAAAGTGATGTACATTTGACATCGAACATGGAATTTGGGTTAAAGTGTTTGCTAAGTTTTGTAGAATATCAGAGATATTAAAAATGTTGCAAAATAAATTTAAAAAACCTCCCTTATTTCAGTTTTCATCCACACTGAAATTTTTTTAAAAATCAGAAACGTCAGAGAAAAGTAATGATAGATAAGCATTGATTTATTTATTAATTTGATTTTTGTGTGTTTGGAAAACAGTTTGTTAATCAATAAAAATATCAGCCAACCGTGTGTCAAGTGTAAAACTGAAAATACGTGTTTTTGTGTATCTGACTTAAATTGATTGTTAACCAGTTTCGTGCTAAATTCTAATGGTATTAAATTCGCAATGTTATTTGGGCAGCTGAAATATTGCAACTACAAATTAAAAGAGGAAAGCAAAAGACTGAATTTCCAATTTCCGCAAACAGCAAATAATGAGCAATATAGAAAATTTGCAACGGCAAAAAGATTTGGTGCGTGCAATCGCGATGCGCGCGCTCATGCATGCCGGCGGGGAAAAGTAGGTGAATATGAATATTTTTTAAACAATAATTTTTTAAATATTTTTGCGTATGCTGTCTTTCGCATTCACTCTACCTGCTTCAAACTTTGTTACATTTTTTAATTGTGACAATTTTCTCACTCTCTTCTATTCATCAGATGTTTTTGTCCTGTAAAGAAACCCACCAAATTTATCGTTACACTCAAGCCGGTCGTTAAAATGCCCAACGCCGATCCATATCTCAGTTTAAAAGTAAAATCTAGCGCTTGTACATGTAATACGAAAAGTGCACATAAGCCACCGACACCAGCACAATTAAAGGTGCGCCAAAATAATGAAGCTTTGAAGGGCAAAACGCTTCTGAGTGAGTTAAGCTTTCATGCGATTATTGTAATATCTTTAATATTTCAAATTTTTTAATATAATATGACATACAAATTAATATAATAGTTGAAAAATTTAGATATTAGCAATATATATATATATTACAATAGATATATAGTACATATACATCTTAATATATAAAAACGAATGTTTGTTTGTTAATGAGGCTCCTTAAATATATTAAGCGAACAAGGTTGAATGGTGATTACACCTAAGCTCATTTCCGCTCATATAAAAATCGTATGTCTGTTTGGTAAAATCCAGTTAACTCCGAAAATCGCCAAAACTTACCGACCGATGGAGTTGAAATTTTGTCAGATTTTTTCTACAATTCCTTGATAGGCTTTCACGAAAACAGAACATTCGGGAAGCGTACAAGGGATTGATCTATTCGAAAAAAATCTTATAAATGGTTTACTTGAAATTCGGTTCATTGGTGGCTTTTAGCTCGGATTAAAAGGATTTTCTCCGAGAAATACACCGGGGACTGGCCTATTCGAAAAGTCGGACTATTCCTCTTTCCGGGAAGTGAACCAATGTCAATGGTTTAGTTAAAAATGTTGTAATCGAAAAAGTATAGAATGAATAAAGTTGTTATAAAAATATCCCATGAAAAATTTTTCATACTTTCAATGAGTATGAGCAGGGTTAAAACTAGTTTTTATAGGACATAAATAATTACAAATATATATATTATATATGAGATGCCCTTATTTAGGGTATTTTAAATAAATCATTATCATAGCTTGAAGCAGGAAGAATTTTAAAAAACTCAAATTATATTGGATGAGTGCAAAAGTTCGTTCCCGATTTCAAGTGCAAACTAAAATTGAAATTTTTTGAAGAAAGCGCTTTTATTAATCAATTATGTATTCGCCATCATGTTCGGCAATCCACTTCCAACGTTCAACCAATTTACGGATGCCTGATTCATAGAAATCGCGCGGTTTCTCGTTGAAAAAGGTGTCAAGGTGGTTTTTGACGTCTTCCACATTTTTAAATTTTTTTCCATTCAAATTGTTCTGCAGCGATCGAAACAAATGATAATGAGAAGGTGCAATGTCGGGTGAATATGCGGGATGCGGCATGATTTCCGAATTCATCACCTTCAGTTTGGCCAGGGTCGGTTTTGCAACATGTGGCCTGGCGTTGTCATGATGGAAAAGAACTCCTTTGCGATTGGCCAAAATCGGACGTTTTTCATCAATTGCTTTCTTCAATCATTTCTTTACTGTGCGGAGTGCTGGAGCACGGTCCAAATAAACTTCGCGAATATCTTTAGTTGCAGCGCCTACTTTTTTCCTTTGCGGAATTCGTATAACATAATATGACGCATATGATCTTTTTCGTTGTCCATCTTCCATGCGTCTTTTCACTAAGCAACTCAAATCAAAATGAAGTTATTTTTGATTTACAGTTTGGACTGTCACCTTTCTAACGATATATAATATGTATATATTTCTTTCATGAGCGCCACTCTCAAACGATTCGAACGGTATCCAGCGGAATCGGGCACGAACTTATGTACTCATCCAATAGTAAGTATTTTGAACATGTTTATAAGGCAAAAATATGAAAGAAAGCAAAATACATTTGAAAAAGCACAAAAGCTTATCCAAAAGTTTGCCTCAAAATCATGCAGCATTTTGGGAGTCTCACACTTATCATGCTTTATCGTTTCAACTTTGCTTTCTCTTATATCACTTCAACTCTGTATGTATCTAGGTAGCCTCTCTTTGTCTTAATGAAAACTCATGGGGAATAAATAATTTTATTAACATAATTTTATTGTCTTTGTTTCAAATTAAGTTGTATTTCGAAAGTCATTCAACACAGTATATAAACTTCCCCTTTACACGTATTTAAAATCTTAGCTAAGCTTTCTGCCTTAATAACAGCCAGCGTCGGAAATTTATATAACTTGACTTTCAAAAGCTCACATCACAAAATTTCAAATATTTATGCTTAAACACGAAGAAAATCGAATTCAGTATAGCAGGAGTAGATTAAAGTTTCACCGTTTTTTTCAAACATAAAGAAGTTTATTAATTATAAATTAATTGAGTTTTCATACAATGCGTTTCATTATTATAGCATAGCGAGCTTTGTCATTTTAGTGAAACATTTTAGAAAATATTTTTTTTTAGTATTTCGGTACACAAACTTTGGCGTACAATGGAATTGAAAATAGTTATATGTATATACATACAATATAATATAATATGTATTTTTAAATAAATGTTTATTAAAATTAACAACTCGAAGAAACAATAAAACAATTAGATAAAAGTTCGTTGTGTCTAAAAATTTTTTTAATTGCTCAAACCCTTTAGATAAACTTTTTTGATATATTTATCAATTTCTTGGAAAACAAAATTCAGATTTTACAGTTTTTTAAAAAAATATTGGCAATTTCACTCAAAAAAAACTGAATAAATCATTTGGCTGGACCTTTTGTCAATTTGTATTGTTATGCGGCCAAAAAAAACTACTTCTTAAAGTTGAAAGCTTAATTAAATTTCCAAAATTAAATGACTAAAAATAGAATTCTTAGTTAACTTTTTTAACAGTTTATTTTGTTTTTTTTTTCAACTAAATATTATTAATATACAAAATATTATTCGAAATCAACCAAATATTTAACAACTTTTATTATACACTCAATATTTCCTTAAGATACATAAATTACACAAAATCAAGAAAATAACATGTAACAAAACAAACAATAAAAATATTTAATATAATATACCGCGGTTTTTGTTATGAAACACAGTGTCTTAAACTTATAATATGGCTCCTTACCATAATAAATTTTAACTTTTTTATTTATATATATGACTATTTCATAGATTTACATACTTCAATTTAATTTCAATGATTATCTTATATTTTTATACGCTTTTTTTATTTTATTGTTCCTTCTCCTCCCTTCAGTAATGACATGACGATTTTATGATTACGTCCGATATACTCGTATTTTTTTAATTTCATTTTGTTTCATAGCTTTATCAAATTCTCCTTTATTTGTACTATCTAAATAATTTTTAAAAAGAATTTTTTAAAATTTTCGCTTTTTTTCTAAAGTTTTTAAAAAACTCGTCGTCAGCATAGTATTGGTATGATTATATATTTTATTTTATTTTTTTCATTAGCCTACTTTTGCAAATCGACTTTTATTCTTTTTCTTCTCCGTCTTCCTTATCTTCGCGCCCAACTTAGTCAATTTCACTTTCGCTTTCGCTCTTACTGTTAAGCATTTTATTTTCATTTTCATCATACAAATTTTTTTCTGACTTTAGGAATATATTATTACGTTTTTTCCAAAATATTTCATCACATTTCTTGTTTATTACTTTAACACCATTTCTTGGTGTAAAACCCTTTGCCATGAAGAGCAAATATAACAGATCTTCTAGTGGCTCTTCAGGCAGTTTTAATATTTCCACTCCATCTGGATAGTTGACCGGCGTAATACCCAACACATTATGTGTAGCGAGAGTTTTCTCATCAAAAAGTATCTCCAACAATACGTTAATTATTTCCGAAGACTTCATTACATCCCAGTCGATTTCCTGTATCACACTTTTTCTTATTTTCGTCCTTGACGGACCCAAGAATGTCCATTCTACATCATTCTCAAAGAATGATTTCACATTAATTTCATGTCTTATATATACATAAGCCAAAGTGTTGTCCTCTCCGGGCTCTCGCATTTCTTCGATCTTTTCTACACGTTCGCGCAAGAGGCTAGTAACTCGTTCATCGACGCTGTCATCTGCGGCTGATACCCTGTTGCCGCATGTGGAGCATGTGTCATCAGTGTCATCTTCATGTTTTTCGCAAAATTCTTGTGTTACGATAAATTTACCACAATCTGGGCAGTGTAAGTCGATGTGCAGTACGTCCGTTTCATCAGAACTGCTATCAGTGTTATCGCTGGTTGCAACGACTGCAGTAACTTCGGCCGTAGAAGTGGCTTCGGCAGTGCAAGCGGCTTCTGCATTAAAAGTGGCTTCTGCAGTAGAAGTGACTTCAATTGTGCCATAATTGGCAACATGGCGCTCTTCATTATCATTTCCAGCCACTTGCTCGTCGTCAGTAAGACTAGAAATTAAATCAGCTGGCGATATTCCGCATACAATATATTCTTTAAAGTAATAATCATCGTCATCGCTGTCATTATCAGCGTTATTATCATCAAAATTATCACGCTTAAAACGATCGGTATTGTCTTCTTCAGCGCTATAATCGCGAGTATTCTTATCCTCATCAACGTCTTCTTCATTATTTTCTGCCACAACTTTAAATTTGCCACTGTCGTTATCATCATTATCATCATCGTCAATATCTTTCCCATGAGTTCTCTCTACATTTTCATTTTCTTTACTATCTCTTTTATCGGCTTTATCCTCATCGATGTCATCATTCTCTTCATCGTCTTTATTAGCTTTATTGGCTTTCTTGCCTTTTATATCTATCTTGTTTCTATCGTCTCTATGATCTTCATCATCTGTCTTGTCTTTATCGTCATTGTGAATTCTCGCTCTCTTGCTGAAACTGGCAAAAGACACATCATTAGAGTCTTCACCTTGTGATAACATTCGGCATTGCTCTATCTCTTCAACATCGCTTTCGTCAGCTGTGATTGTTTCGGCCACTACTACAAATGCAAATAGAAATCTCTCTTTTGTTATGAGCCACGCATTACAAAAATCAAAACTATTTATTCAATTACCTTCTCTTCTTTTTGCAGGGTTCTCCAAACTCGCCGCACCTTTGACTACATTTCGCTGGTTGCCACCCACTGATGCAATATAACGTTTTATTGATGCTGTAGCATCATCCATTACTTTGTCAACTTCGTTTCTAAAAATATCAATGTCATCTTCGCTGTCATATTCTAGAGTATGGCTGATTTTCCCACATCGTAATGCAGTTCGAAGTGTAGTCACTTGCTTTGCCTCTTCAACCAATATCAAATCGAATATTTCTACTTCGGGCTCCTCTATATCCGATTGAAACGCGATATTTCTACAACGCCTGAAGAATTCTTTTTTTGTTTTGCAGTTCGTTAGGCTTTCTCTCAGCAATCTTTTCTCTTCTTCAATTTGCTCTCTTAGCTCAAACAACTTGCTGATGCGATTTAATATTTCTACTGTTATTAGCTTCTTTATATCGAACCATCTATACATAAGTTGCTTCCTAAAAGTGAAAGTTGTATTTCAGTTTAAATTTAATTGGAAAATATTTAAAATAATCGTATTACCACATGCAGCAGCGCACGTTGTCGTCAGGTAAGTGTGACATGACTTGAAGGACACTTTAGATTACTAGAATGAAAATTGAATTTAATGCATATTTCCGGAAGATATTTTGTATTAGAGAAATCAAACAAAAATTTAAAAACCAAAAAACACACAACTAATAATAAAAATAATTTTGCAAATGTTCATATTTGTGCTTTAAATATCATTTTATACAACAACAAAAGAAGAGTTCAGCTGAGAAAGGTTTTAAACTGTACAGACACAAACGATAGTTTCCCCTCTCTATTAAGACAGCCGCTCTTGGAGAGCAGCCATTATCACCCAATTTGCTGGAACTGAGCACGCTTCCTGCTCTCAAAAGCATTTTTTTTATTATATTAAAGTTTGCAAGCTTTTTTTTAACTGAACTTTAGCAGCTTGTTTTCTAGACCTCCACCAATTACACGAACTGAAACAAAGTACATAAGTAAAAAAGGTGCGTTTAGTCATCTTAATAGTCTGAATTCAAATTTTTCAAAAAATTTTTGTTGTGAAAAAAAAAATTGAGAAAAAGCAATACAAGTTTTTTTTTTATTATTATTTTATTAAAGTCTGCGATTATTATTATTTAAGAGTTTCTCAAGGCATAAATATTATGAGAGAACCTATCTGAGAAGTTTTTGTTTAGAAGAGCACAGAGAATACATTTTCGTACATGATCGTGCTGGATATCCAATGAGGCCTAACATATACGATACTTGAAGCTTGAAGAAGAACAAAAAGCTTAACCCTTTCGCTCTTCAAAACCCCTTTTAATATGTTCAAAAGTTGGCTTACAAAACGAAACATATAGATAGTGTCTATTTTTCTTTTTGGAATTCAGCAGTATTATGGAACCATCGAGAAAAGAGTAGATCAAATCATTTGATGGTGCTAATTTTATCTGAGTAGGAAATGAAAGCTTCATAAACAAATATATTTGTAGAAAGTTCTTAAGCATACAAATGATGATTTTGTTTACTCTTAAGCAGTTTTACGAGCAAAACATCATGATGGTAGAGAAGGTAAGGGGGACTTTCGCGCTCTTTTTAGGTTGGGGAGGAGGTGGTATATTAAATATTGATGTGAAAGAAAATAGAATAGAAGTGCATTTTTTTGGTTTAAAATTTTTATTTGTTTTACATAATTACTCATATATACATATATACACATATGTATATATTTGTATTTCTAAAACAAAGCTCACTTACCTGCACTACACAAAAGATCGTTAACAACTTTTCCAGCACAGTCAGCCTGGTAAAACACAGAAAAACACAAAATTAACATTTTCTACTCTCCAGCTATATACAGGTATACGAGTATACTGAAGATTAGATTGTAAAAAAAAAAATAGCAGCATTCAGTTAAATGAGTTTAGGCGAGTAAAAATTATACGAATTAAATTAAAATTGCTCTATTTTTTGTATAAATTTAATTGACGAACTCACACTTTTGTTTTCCTTTAATTAATAATTTTTTTTGTTTGGGTCAAAACACTTTTTTTTTGTATTTTTTTTTTTTTTTGTAAAAACAACTTTAGATAATTTTGATTTTCTGTAATTACTTATTTAGTTATTATTAATTTTTTTATAACTTTTCTATGATTTGTTGTTAATTACTTATTATTCATTTCAAGCATTATCCTTGTCGGCCAGCGTCACAATTTCGCCATACTATAGCATTTCGGCCTCCTTTTTTCGTCTGCAGTTGCATCTTGCTCCCATATCCAGCTCTCGGTATCTATCCCATCCCGCACGTGTTGTGGTCGATCGCAAAGTTGCGATCTTTACGAAGTCCAATAAACTCGTTTACGGCTATACGTAGAGAATTTGGAATCCTCTCACACAGTTTCCTTATGCCGAATTGCAGATGAGTGCTTTCAGAGAGCAAGAATGCAAGTCTGACTGTGGAGTACAAAACCGCTCGGCAGTCTATTGTGATTGCAGTTTTTCGACGTCGAACTAACCTTATGCTTATTGACAGGATTTCTTTGATACAAAAGGATGAGTGCGTATCTTCAATGCAAAGAAATAATGGTCCGAGTCGAGAATGGGTTCTCGGAGGGTGCGCGCGTCAAGAACACTGGAGACATGTCATGTTGACTTGTGTGCAAAAATTCTTGTTAAATACTACTTCTTTGAAGACGAAATCTTGTAAACCAGAATCATATAATATTAATAGTTTTTGGTAAAATTTGGGCTATATGTTTACATAATTGGAGCTTGGAGGTACCTATTTTATATATTAAGCCGCCACCGAATAGTTGATGTTTTTTTATGAGGAACTTTTAATTCTTGTCCGAAAAAAGCCCCAGGGCCCTGTCATTTTCTGTCGAGTGGAGATTGCAATGAGAAAATTTATCTTAATTTTTTACTAAAATTATAATATTTGAACGTTTGTCGGCCTTTCCAAATTGCAGTACGCAATGCTATGTAATTATACGTACGCCTTCTAGGCCTTCCAGGAAATCTGATATTTTCAGCTGATTTTGACAAAGGAGTAAAATTTATTTAGTATATTCTTTGCATTTATTTTGAACCAGTTTTAGAACACAACGTCGATTAAATGACCAACTTCATTCGACACACAAAAAGGAGCTCTTTTTCACGCATTCTGCATAACATTGGTAAGCATTTCAGACGTTATAGCAGCTATTTTGACACCTGCAAATGTTCCCCATTAGTACGCCGATTGTCTTTACTTTTTAAAAAGCCCCAAAGAAAAAATCAGGTAAAGTTATATTTGGAGAAAGCGGCGGTCAGTCCAAATTTTGATTTTTCATTAAATAAGCTTTATCTGATAAGAACGCACTGTTTTCACAACTGAATGATTGCCTTCAATATAAAATGCTACGATTTCACTAAATGACAATGGCACCGAATGACGTAGCAGAATCATGCACTTTCGCCTAAGTCGTCTAAAAGCGGACAGAGTTATTGAAAGTTGAAATACCGAAGGTCTAGATGATTATTGGCATAGGTGAGTAAAAAAATTTTGCAAGTAAACTTGAATCAATTAAACTGCCTAGTACAATGCAGACTGATCTGAGACAAACTAGTTTTAAGCTGGCATGAACGAGCAAGTATTTTAACTGGTGTATATGAACTGGTATTTAACTAGTAGAAGGCTGATGCATCGAGAACATTAAACAGTTCGTAGGACATCGTCGTGTTAAAAATACCACTTGCTTACATGTAAAACGGGTGGTAGATGAACCAGTTGTTGTAAAAACGTAAACTAGTTGGATTCTATTTAGTTGACAATTAGTAATTTACCCAGCCGGGTAGTAGTTACACATAACATACATACGAGAATATGTACATTTATAAGAATTTTTTTGCAATATTATTAAGAAAATAATTTTCTTTAAGAAGTAAAGATTTTTTCCATAAAATATTTAAATTTAAATTAGATTAAAATTTCAAAATTTTAAATACTATTTTTCAAAATATGTCTACATATGTTTAAGTAAGATAAATGCATCTTTATATATAGGTTTATGTGTATCGAACACAATATACGAGTATATGTATATCTTTATGAGATATGTATATAAACATCTGCATATAATGTTATGTGCGACAATATCTCTCTTGACCACGCGAAAAATACTAAAAATCTCGATACTGCGGAATTACTTTGAGCCAAGCAGGTATACACTTACACACATATGTATGCATGTACCTGTATATCTATGGCGCATATTTACATTTCTTTAGATAGTCTTAAAGGACACTTAAAGAAAGAGTACAGCACATATACTAAATACTACTGTGAGTACGAATCATGAAAGAGAAGAAAATAAAAATTTACACAAGTAAACATGCATTGCGTATTAGTGCTAGTAGTATACATACATATGTACATGTATACATACATAAAATAAATAAGACATAAAATAAAAAAGCGCAATTCTCTAAATTTCTCTTAAAACTATTTTTGAATTTGCGATAAGAATATCCAAATAACATTAAAATTATGAAGAAAATTTTGAAAATTTCACCTTTTTCCAATAAACTTTGCAACAAAAAAAATATTTAAATATGATCGATGTTCAGATAGCGTGAACATATCAATAGCTGAGCGCCAAATAATGAGTCTAATACGACCTGATATGGAACAAAGATAAGGCAAAATACAAAAGACATGTCTTCGGTAACGAGTTTGATCAACTTCGATAAGTAATACATATATATATGTACTACAGAAGAAAAACTGTACTACATATGTAGACATTATGTTTGTTAATACTGACGAGTGGCCTGTTGCAGAACTTTTATTTTAGACTGACCTTAATTATAGCCCCAAATATGAATTGTTTTCATTTCCTCCTCCTCAAATGGCTCTTACAATTTTTTGTTGCCTGGACCTTTAAAATCAAATTTCCGTTTTTGGTGAACATTTTTTCAATTTCTTGTCTTTGCTTCCTTATGGACATCTTTCGCCAGTTATAGGTTATCTGCAAGTCCCACTTTTGCTTCTCGTGCTTCCAAAGTTTGACACCGCCGGGATAACACCGTGGAGCAATCCTCCCATGTGAGAACTTGATATTATCTTGTTTTCTACTCACAATTAAATTATGGAAAATTTGCATTTGAATTTCGTTTAATAAGTTTTGACATAAAAAAATGCTTAAGAAACTTGAAATGTTGGCTGTTGGCACTCCGCAAATTCACTTTGCCTTTCAGAGTGATGCAAGCGGTTTTCCCTCTTGGCTGATAAGATGTGAATGATGCTGAGCGTCTTGGTCAACAACAATTATCAATAAGGAATTAGAAAGTATTAGGTATTGGCATATCAATCAGCTCTTGCTATAAAATTTTATCGAATGGTTATGGGGGATTTTTATGTGTAGCTTTTGGTTCATTTCATAAATACACAAGGAGGGTTGACATTCCCAGCTGAGTGGAGACCGCGATTAGAAAATTTAAATTATAATTTTTTTATTTCTAATAAATTTGAACCCTGGCCTTTCGAACGGCGGCAGTACGCAATGCTATTCACTCGCCTTCCATGGCTGGTTGAAAATTTTAGTGTTCAAATTCTTTATTTGTTAACAATTTTATAGCTTCACTATATTAGGTACATATACTAAACTCCTACATATGTATTTATGTATATGTCTGTTTTTGTCACCTAAAATACCAAGAAAAACTGTGTAATTGTTTTTGGGACTCCTTTAGGATAGATACAACATTTTAGTTAGTCTCATCTTAGGTATCTTTAGAAGAATCTACTATGTACATGTACATGTAGGTATGTATGCATATATAAACTTACCTAATGGCATGCATACACATCCGTATATGGTCATATATGTATGCATATATACATAAAAGTGCAATGGATACATATTCTAGCGAACGATAGCCGAAAATGAAGAATTAAGAAAAATTATTATGTTTGAAGCAACTCTTTTCTGCACTGAATTCTTAAAAAAAGGCTTCCAATGTCGAATTATTTAATTTGCTTTTAATACATCAAAGTAAGCACTTTTCAAATAATAAATCATAAAAGTTGATGTGAATTGTATGCAATATCCGCAGCTCAGACACGTACATATGTATATAATATAGGTGCATACAAATATATATTTATTACATTTATTTATATTTATTGCATCTGATATTCTAATATAAGTATTCAGTTTCATTATTTCGATTATTTCACTGCCATTTCAACATAAAACAATTAGATTTTGGACAGTTTGAATGCAGTGATTTAATAAAATTTAGAGAAATTTAATAATTTTTCAGGAAAACTATATGTAATATAGAGCATAATTCTAAGAAATAAGGCTGAAGACAGTATAGTCCTGCTGAAGTCTTATCACTTCCATGAACATACCAAATCTCAGTGCCACTTTTCTACTGCTGGCACCAGTGAAAATATTCTAATAAGATACATATGTATGCGTATACTTTTTTGTGCCTCATACGAATATTCTATTGAATGTCGTTGACTTAAAGTGAGGTTATGTCGTACCAAATGCAGGTGCGCTGGTTGCTGAGTACGTCTACTGATAAATTCTGACTTTGCTTTGCTTGAAAAGCTGGATTAGCTGATGAAAGGTCTGATTTGCAAGACGAACATATATGTACATGAACTTGTATGTATAATTTCCTCATATAGCTTTAACTTTGTTTTTGTAAAGTGTTAAACTCACTGAAATGCCAAAGAAATTTTGAGAAACAAAATTGAAATATGAAAAATATCAAATTATTATTTGAATAGTTGCTCACAGTGCTCGATGCCCGGGTATTTAGAGCTCCAATATGTATACATATGTATGAATGTGTATGTATTTCTGTAAGATGATATTCCGTAAATTCATATAAGAGATTTATGTTGGGCTCTTTAAGCCGCTTGATTTGGAAAGTGTAAGAATAAAAACAAGAAAAGAAATAAGAGACTTATTTAAAATATTTATTGTTGTTGCAAAAAAGTGTTTTTATTTGCGGTTAAATATATTGTCATTGCTGTTGTTTCCGAAGCACTAAAAATTGTAACGCAAAAAATTCCTTGGTGAAAAGTCGGAAGGAGAGGCTTTTATATTATATCTAAATGCATACATATGTACATATGTATGTTTGTATGTTTGCATTAGTGAACTTTGGTTTTTTTACAAATATATTGAATTTTCCCAAGTGAATATCGAATATATTTTCTCCTATAATGACAACAAGGTAATTGATTAAAAATTGGCAAAAATAATCAGAATGCGAAAATTTATTTAGCTTTTCATCTTACAAAAATATAAAAGAATTTATATGAATGTAATGAATGAAAAAATTCGTATTTCTCCATTTACTAACATTTAAATTTTTTCTTACTAATATTGAAATAAAAATTGTTTGTCCTAAAACAACAACAACATAACAATTTTAACGCTAGAGGTAATTAAAATCTTGCGAAAAAGATAAAAAAATCATGGAAACGAAATGGTTTTTATTTATTTTATATTTAAAAAAAATTGTAAAAAAATTATGAACAAATATATATAAATATTAGTTTATGCAGTTTCCGCGCTGTTCGTGTTCTCCTCGCATTCTTCTTCGAAGGCGCTGAACGTCGTAAAATTAGAAAAAACTGAGCAAAACCCATAAAACCGGCTTAACGCTTTGTTTTTGTTGTACTCAAAGAAATTTACTGCATCGCCGAAGGATGTCCAACGAAGCGAAGCCTAGGTGACAACAACAATAACAGCGAAATCGCGGAAATTCCCCAACAACAAAAGAATACGACTCGCTATAACGACAAAAATATATACTATACCTACATATATATATGTATGTATGTATGTATGTTAGTATATGTATGCATTTATTTCTATGTAAGCAATATTTACTTACCCACATACATATATGTTTGAGTGCTGTGTTCTTGAGTTGCAAAACGGTGTTTTTAAAACAAAAGAATCGGTATTTTTCACTCGAACGTCACTATCTGACGCTAGCTTGCTGATAAAGGATGCGCTGAAGATGGCGAAGAGCTTGTTAAGATGAAGTGTAAGCGTCGCTTAGCCGAAGCTGTAGGACAGCCCTGAGCCGAACGTGAAGCGCAGCGCACCTGCATGTCTTCGGCCAACGACAGACCTCTGATGGTAACTCACTTGCGAGCAGCAGATTATTCAACAATTACTGATCGTACAGTACAGACGTAAACTAAGTCATACATAAATATATTGCCAAAGTGTCTGTGTTGAGAGAGATTCTAACAAAAAGAGCGTTGTCAAAAATAGTTAAGCCGAAGTATATTTAAAACAGAAATAAGAACAAAATCAAATGGATAAACCTAAGAGTAGCAAAGCTGCCAAAGGCACAGAAGTATTCGATTTACCTAAATCGTACGCGACTAACAGTGCAGCAAGGAAAAGAACTCACAAATATCTTTCAATCAAAGATGAACCAATCCACGTATCTAAACAAGGCCCCCATCACATTGTGAGCACTACAGGTGTTGTCGAACAGGATGCTGCTGCTTTCTCTGATCATTGCTTCACCGAACCCCTACGAAAGATACGTGAAGACGAATATCTCCTAGTGCAATATCGTCCGACACCCTTTCGGGTGAGACATAAGGTGATACTTGAGAGTGATGTCGTGCCTATTTTAGCAGCGGGTGTCCACGAGGGTAACCATAACCATAAGGACGTCTTCGTGCCAGAAGGCGAGACTATGTATCAGGCATGCGTGTTGGCACGCAACAAAAGTAAAGACTTCCTAGTCGGTGAAATGGATACAGTAAGGTCGAAAATTAGTGCAGTTATTGGCTTGACGTACTTGCGGCCGGTAAGTGGGCGTGGAAGAGACAAATCATATATAATTCTTTTATCTATTTCTGGATTTTATTTCTCTTCTTCAACACACAGGAGGACTTGGAGGAAGATGCTGTAACAAGGCCAGAAGGAAATCCGTGGATTTTAATACAGTATTCCGCTGACAAAGCCGAATGTTCGCATACAATAATGCGCTATGAGGACTCATTATTACACGTAGATAATCCCTACCCAGGATATCAAGTTCTTACGAAAATTGACGGTAATTTTCATCACGCACTAATAATATTCAGATCCCACAATTATGAAGAGGTGCTTAAAACACTACATAACATTTTCAACTCCTGTGTGATCTCAATATATCCACAATTTAGTGATATGAGTTTTCGCCAAGAGGGCCTTAAGAAGGTAAGCAAATGCTAATTGGATTTTTTTTTTTATTTTATATAAGAATTTTGTGCATACATATGTAACGGTTGGTTAGAAAAATGTAAAAGGTGAAAGGTAGCGAGAGTTGTAGAGAAGGCAATAGAGAGTGTAGCGTAGAAACTGTTAGTCGAAACCCGTTGCGAGAGAGGAATGAAACGAACCAACGTTGCATACTTACATATATAAACTTTGCCGAACATATACATCATGGCTACTTACTTACTTATATACTTATTTAAACATATGCTTGAACACAAAACTATATTCACACACATACATACATACCAATATATGAAACGATTATTTTTTTAAATCTCTTCCATCCCACCGCCATATCACACCTGACGACTGACACCCTCAAACCAACACCACTCGATATTTGGGGACAAAACGAAAACCAAAAAACGTAGACGATAATTTCCATTGATGAAAACGAGAAGCTCAAATATGAAGACTATTTTTGTTGTTTAGAATCGCATGTAATATCTCTCTGGTATGATTAGAATTTATGTACCCTTTTTTAATGAAATAACTTTTTTATAATAATTTTTTTTTTTTAATTCATAATATATTATTAACAATTCTTTTACACTCCACTCTTTCTGCAGTATCAACGCACCGATTTATATAAAACCGGCAGAGGTGTCGTCGACGAAGTTTGCGAGGGGGATTTAGAAATAAGTAATCAAGTGGCCAATTATGTTGGCGCAGAGGCGTCAGCTATGAATAAATTATGTGATCAAATCAGGGTTGCGGAGGAGAAAATGGCAACAACCTTAAAAGAACTTAAAAACCTAAAAAAATAATAGCAGCTGTTAAGGGCCTTTAATTATCTATATATTTGTTTATGTAGTTGTTGTTAAATTAATAAATTTAGTCCATTTTATTAACGGACTTGAGAGTTAATTATTGATTAGTTCTATTAATAAATACCAAAATAATAACACAATTTTAATTCCTACATTAATAATTATTTTTTGAAAGGCATGGAATTATTCACATAAAAAATTATATAATTCAATATTCTAAATTAAAAAAAATTAAAATTAATTCCAGTGTAGAAGTTGTTAATCAATCGCATTTACATGGTTATTTTAAAACTTTACTAAAAATACACAAATTTAATTAAGCATCAAGAGCTCATGATTAGCAATACAATATTTTATAGTTTAAGATTTAATACCTAGATAACAATTTTATTAATAAAATCTATAAATAATATCTAAATATATACTTTTCTAAATTTTCAAATAGCATATGTATGAATATGTCTATATATATATTTATAATTGATATATTTATGTATATGTGAAATTGATATCTCTGTTATTTGCATGTATAAGTGATAATAATGTTATTGTAATTCTATTAAATAAAGTCAAGCATGCAAAAACATAAAAACGCTTTCGTTTTTTTTTTCAAATGTTTACTTCAACATTTACCCTTTCGGAATGAGTTTCTCTTCTCATTCGCCATCAAACAGAAAACTTAAATTAAACTAACCAAGAAAAAAAAACAAAAAAAAAAATTAATTTGCTCCAACTACAGAAATGTCTTGATGTATTTTGCACAAAATGGATGGACCATCAGTGTATTTAAATCTCCTCCGAACGGCTGAAGGACAATTATGAGCAGCATATTGGTCTTATCAGGGTTTAAACACATGACTCTTGGTGCAATGGCACTGCTTATCATACGATAGCCTAAAATGAAGAATTGAGAAAAATTATTATGTTTGAAGCAACTCTTTTCTGCACTGAATTCTTAAAAAAAAGGCTTCCAATGTCGAATTATTTAATTTGCTTTTAATACTTCAAAGTAAGCACTTTTCAAATAAGAAATTATAAAAATTGATGTGAATTGTATGCAATATCCCGAGCTCAGACACGTACTTATGTATATAATATAGGTATATGATAATGATAGCTTCAGCTACATAAGAATATATATTTATTTATATTTATTGCATCTGATATTCTAATATAAGTATTCAGTTTAATTATTTCTATTATTTCACTGCCATTTCAACATAAAACAATTAGATTTTGGACAGTTTGAATGCAGTGATTTAATGAAATTTAGAGAAATTTAATAATTTTTCAGGAAAACTATATGTAATATAGAGCATAATTCTAAGAAATAAGGCTGAAGACAGCCTAGTTCTGCTGAAGTCTCATAATTTTCATGAATATACCAAATCTCGGTGCCACTCTTCTACTGCTGGTACTTACATATATACGACGGAAAATATTCTAATAAGATTTATGTGTACCTTTTCGAGATTTCCCTCGTTTCTTTTTGTCCTGCATACGAATACTCTATAGAATGTCGTTGACCTAAAGTGAGGTTATGTCGTACCAAATGCAGGTGCGATGGTAGCTGAGTACGTCTACTGATAAACTCTGACTTTGCTTTGCTTGAAAAGCTGGATTAGCTGATGAAAGGTCTGATTTGCGTACGTCTTACAAATACATATGTATGTACATAACATATACATATGTATAACTTTCTTTTATAACTTTAACTTTATTTTTGTAAAGTGTAGAGTTCAATGAAATATTAAAGAAATTTTCGACAAACAAAATTGAAATTTGAAAATTTTCAAAATATCATTTGAGCAGTTGGGAAACGAATGAGAGTATCGGGAGAGTATCGAACTGCTCACAGTTCTCGATGCCCGGGCGTCTAGAGCTCCAATATGTTTACATATGCATGTGCATATGTATTATTTCTGTAAGATGATATTCCGCAAAATCATATAAGAGATTTATGTTGGGCTCGTTTAACCGTTTGATTGATAAAATGAATAACAAAAAAAAGATATTAAAAATATTAATTGTAGTTATTGCTGTTGATTTTCGAAACAGTAAAAGCTTTAATGTCAAAAAGTAGTGGCAGCTCAGTGGTCACCTGTGCGTAGGCTCGCGTTCAAATCCAGGTACGACGAACATCCCAAAGTTATATATAATTAATTTAAATAAAAAAAAAATTAAGTTGAATTTTCTAATTTCGGTCGCCCCTTGGCTGGAAATATCAACCCCACCGAGTATATTTCGGATATGAAATAAAAGCTCCTAGTAAAAAAACCATCAGCCATTAGGAGGCGGCTTAGCATAAACTGTAGGTCCCTCCACTTATTGGAAAAACATCAAGACGCAAAAACCACAAATTGGAGAAGGAGCTCGGCCTAAACATCGTTCCAGCGTTTAAAAAGCGCCAATTTTATAGAAAAAGTTTCTGGGGGAAAGGTGGAAAGAAAACTTTTAATATCTAAAAATCATGTAAGTGCAATGAAAGAAAAAAATCATAAGCTCTATTTATTTATATTTAAAGTTTACAAGCTTTTTCATTTTAAAATTTAAATCAAATTCTTGGACCTAAAATAAAAACAAAATAATTTGAACCAGAAATGTAATCAAAATTTTTCGAAAAACAGAAAAAAATTCAAGAAAGCAAAATGTATTCTCTTCATCTTAATATTTTACAAATATTGTAAAAAAAAAAAATTATGAAAAAATACATACAGTGGGTAGAAAAAGTAAGTCATCAAAGTACATAATGCAGCAGTGGGGTGAATAAAATTTTAAATTCCATAATTTAATCATTTTTAATGTCCATAACTTTGATTTAATAGTTAATCCAATCGTTGTTGCATAGTTGTTATAATGTTGATATGTTTCAAATACTCATTTTGAGGAAAATTTTTTGATGTATTGTATTATATATGGACAACCTTGAAGAACTAAAAAACTCCAACAAAAAAGGTAGCTGTTAAGGGCCTTTAATTATTACTGAATTTGTTTATGTAGATGTTGCTAAATGTCTATTAATATCTGAGCAATTTATTCGTTTACTAAATGGTGTTCAACTAAATAAGCACCATAGAACAAATGCGAAACATTTAACAGTTATCAAGGGAATTTAGTAACATTTAAATCAATAAATAAATAAATATTTTTTTAATTCAATTTTAATTTTTAATTTGTAAAACATATATTCGCACTCATATGTTCTTAAAGCTTAATTAAATTTATGGAAAGGAATGCATTTTTTTACATATAAAGACTTGGTGTACACAAGAATTTCGTTTAATCTGTTTGAAACAATTTTTAATCTCAAATTAATTATCGTAATTTTTATTAAAAATATAAATCTGTAATTTCAGATATCAATCATATATTAGGTTAGGTATTTTTTTTATTGATTTTTCATAACTTGTTGCCAACGAGATTTGCCAACTTCATCGTACCTCTCTAGTAGAAGTCTGCGTCCTTAATGGCAAAAACCTCGGAGAGCCAATTTTCACAGTCCAACTTCTCACCATTAAGCGCATTCGCCACGGACAGGAGAAAAGGGTAATTACTTGGTGCCAGGTCCGGACTATAGGGTGACCGCATTAGGACCTCCCATCCGAGTTTTTGGAGCTTCTGGCCCGTCACAAAAGACGTGTGTGGCCTGGCGTTGTCCTGATGGGTCACAATTCGTCCTCTTCTGGATGAGTGCTGCCCTGAGGCGGTCCATTTGTTGGCAGTATAGGGCCGAATTGAGCGTTTGTCCACAGGGGAGCAGCATGCTTCTATGCGTTAGTTCTTGTGGCACGCAAACACCGAGTTTCTTTTTGAATCCAAGGTTATGCAATGGTTCCAAAGAGTTTTTGGCTTATCTTTAGGTCCTCAGCAGTTAAATAAGTGCTCACGTGGCGGTCTGTGTCCACTATTTCCTTGTTTTTATTGCAATTTTCGATGCCAGGCCTCCCGACGCGTGGTCCATCTTTGACATCGAAATTACCAGAATACCGGAATTACCGGAGCGGAACCTAGCAAACCACTTTTGTGCTACACATTCATTTACAGTATCGGGCACATAAACTAAATTACTTTTAGTATATACCAAAGTTATTCCACAACTCTGCCATATCTTTCGAAGGAGTCTCATTGGGCAGCTAGACAACGATTACAGCGCGTTTTTCATGCTTCGTAACATTGTCCGCGAGTACCTTCGTCACGGTCATCTGGTTCTAGGGAACAAAAAAAGTCACAGGATGACATATCGGGCGAATAAGAAGGTTGTTGCAACACGGTGATTTGCTTAGAGACAAAATACTGGGACACGCTGAGAGCGGTGTGGCACGACGCGTTATCGTGATGAAGGATCCAGTTGCGAGCGATATCTGAGCGCACCCTGTTAACTCGTTTTCGGGATCTTTCGAGCACTTGGCGCTAGTAGACTTGATTTTCAACTTGCCACGGTGAAAGAAATTTTTTGTGGATAATTCCGCAGCAATCAAAAAAGGCAACAATCATCGTTTTCACCTCCGACTTGCTCATTGAACATTGTGAGCTTTGGCATTTGTTGTCAGGGTAGTATTGAAAAAAAAACAGCTTTCATTTAATATTTTAGCGTATCTTGCCGAAGCTGTTTCGCCCGATTTAGCGCAAAATTTTATTGCGAAGCGTTGCCCTTGATTTCGTTTCTCCATTTTCATGATGAGCACCACGAATACACGTTTACTCAAAACGACACAGCAGCCGAACTAAACAAGTCAGAGCGAGTACATCAATGGAGAGGGGAAGGCTGCCGAGAGAAGGAAAAGGGAATTTCAAGGTCGCAAGGTTACCACAATCGCGGCAATGTAAACAGTCTCATTACTTAATTGTCACACCTCGTATGTTATACGCTTGCCTTCGGAGCAATATGCCAAACATATATTTTAAATTTAATATATTATCTTTTCACTGGTTTTTTTTTTAAGCGAAGTGAAAATTAAACAAAATATTTTTAAAATTTTAGAAAACGATATCATGTTTTGAATTCGAGCTCATATCTGTAGGAATCTACTTTAACGTTTGCAACTTTCTATTTAAAATTTTTCATTTTTTATGTTACTGAATTTTTAAATTTCAAACATTTTCATTTCCTGAATGATTAAAATTTTTACTTTCAAACAAACAAGAAATTTCAAATTAATTTCATTAAAACAAATAAAAAATAAATGTTTGTATTTAAATATAGAAATATATGTAGATTCATTTATCTATATAATTGGCGATCCTGCTCATCGAATTTCGTTCAAGCTAACAAATAATTTTACCGAATTCTACGGTTATCTTGAACGTGAAACAACAGTTGCGGTAACATTGACGCATCGAGGCAATACAATAACAAATATTAGATTTCAATTTAATTTGGCAATTCTCCAGAGCAAATATAAACATTTAAATATAGCGATTTATTGAAAGAAAAATAAATTTTAAACATTGTAAAAATCCGTGTATAGAATTCAAAATCATTTATGTATACGGGATTAAATTTTTTAAAGGAAAAAGACACGCATTTAAAAGTTGAAAATCGATAAAATATTTAATCCAAGATATCATCAATTGTCTGCACTGATTTCTCTTTATCAATTCTATGAGAGTGAAGTCAATTCAATTTCAAGTGATTGAGAACAGGTCAGTATCAGGTTTTTATCATTTGTAACAAATTATAATTAATCTTTTTAACTAATTTAATTTAAATCCAAATTAAATCTTTTCAAGTTGTTGTAAATAAATGGAGGAATATATAGTTGAAAACGGATCATGGGTTTTTTAGAACAACAAAGTAGTTTTGAGAATTAATTTTTTTTTTGTAAATTTTATAAAAGGAAAAACTATATTAAATACAGTAAAATATTTTACTAGTTGTAAATAAATTGCGTTACTTTTATATTACCGTTCGATACCGAAATTTATTGGCCTACTAATTTTATCCAAAACCTTAATTAAGCATCCACAGTTAGTTAATTCAAGTGCATTGTTAATTTCGACTAAACAAAATTTTTATTTGTTATAAAAAATTATTTTTGATTCTCAAATATATTTAATTGTAACTGCAGATAGTCACTTCAAATGCTTTACTATATTTTATATATTTATTTATATAAAAATTTTAATAAATTATTAAATAATTAAAGTTATGTGTAAAAAATGTAAAAACAAAATTATAATTTTTAGATTATTTCAAAAATCTTTGCAAATGTACATCAAACAAAGCATGATTATTAATATTTATGTCAAATTATTTCACATTCAGACGACTTCAAAAACTACATATTTTTCTGGCTTCGCAATATTGACGCGGAATTACTAAACCCGTTGTAACTGGACCTTTGATACTAATTTCTTCTATTAAAATATTAACGCTCTCATATGTTTATTGCTTCTCATCAATTTGAATGTATTAATGGCTTCTTATTTGTTGAAGCTCCTTGTTAAAAATGTATGCCTTGTAGCTGAGTTGTATTAAAAAAAAAAAATACCAAAATAATAAGAAACTCCTCAAATAAGTTCAAAAAGCATTTACTTTTGAACCGCATAAAATTAATCACACAAATTCTCATGATAAAAATTCAATATTCGAAATAAAAAAATATTAATTCCAGTTTAACAAAGGTTAAAAACATAAATAAATTTACTTAACTATTTTGAAAAAGTGCATTAAAAAACAGGAGAGCAATCTAGAGAACTGTCGAGAAAATGTTAACGGGAACACTCGAGAGAGCCATTTAGCGAACGTGCGCAAATAAAACGTGAACTGGAAAGTGCAGCGGAACTGAAGCGGGAAACTCAACTGCCAATGACACCACCATGCCGATGAGCTGTAAAAGCTGAAGACACAACTAATGCGCCGAGCAACACCACTTCACAGCAGCACCAGCAGGCGCAGCCGACAGTGCTGGATTTGCTCAGAGGGAATCCATTGAAATACTTTGATGTTAACTGTAATGGTGGTCCGCAAGCGAAAACGAAAGAAGAGCCTTGTGCAGTAGATCCACCATGCACGCTGAGCTTATTTCCATTCCCTAGTTTGCGAAAGCCTGAAAAGCCCGCCGAGCCAATAGCAGCCATTACAACAAAGCCAACGAAACAAGCAGCATCAGCAACTATGCGAGAAGCGGAGTTTTCGCTCTGCCACGAAAACCAGGTTGACCCGCAACCACAAGCAGAACCGGTGCAACCAGTACCGGCAAATATTAATGAAGAAATAATTAGAGCACAGTGCAGTCGCATACTCAATCTGGAATTGCAGGTTAACGAGCTGCGACGCGAACTAGGGCGCATGAAGACAGAAATTATACCACCCGATGAGATGCTTCGCTGTACAGCGTTAACATCTAAACTACGTGAACTATCCACTTTGCTGGCCGATCTGAAGAGTCAACATATGGAAGCTATGACGTCTGTGCTCATGGCTCAACGACAAGCTACTGCCACACGCACCAAGTCTAAATGCACAGCAGATACACAGACGCCGCAGCTACCGCCGATAGTGAAACCGGAAAAAGTGCAAGCCAATCTACTATCTCACAAACAAACACCAGTTTCGGTTGGCGACCCTTCGTCGATGAGGCCACACAAAGTTCACCACCCTCCACGGTGCCGGTGACCCCTGAACACATTTCCAGAGTGCCGGCAAGCACACTTACCAGCTCGGCAGCGAGTGCTTGCCTGCCCTGTGGTCACGATACTGGTGAGATACCGTTAAAAGAGACACCCAGCTTCTGTCCCTACTGCCAGGACAGCGTTTATCCACGCTGCCCCTACGTCGAACGGCATCTTGAAAAGGAGATTATGCGAATTGTGCAGTCTCACCCGCCATGCGAGTTGTTGTTGTCGGTGATGTTGCAACCGAATAGTCTATATCATATAAATATTTCGTTGACCGGCATCGGCGAGCCGTTAGGTTGTCTTCGAAAGATTTCTGACTTTCTAACAGCAAAAGGACAAAATTCTAACTCACACTTTTGAGTTTTTCAAAGAATTCGTTTCTAAATTCTTTTTGAGCAAACTTTCAATTATGTACAGTTTTGTATTATTGCATTTGAAACTTACGGTTTGCTGTATTTCCGCTATTTTCTCAAAGTAGATATGACTATATACGCGTATAATGGGTTTTTTTTTTGGACGGACTTATGGTTTCGGCAATTTTGTTTTTTATTTATATTATTTCATTAATTTAAAATATATATATTAATATATATAAATATATTTAATAAAATATTTCTGTTATTAGTTTTTACACAAAACGATTACAAACACACTAAAAAATTAATAGTCGTCACCGCGTGGCTGCTAACTGTAAACTGAATGTCTATCCGCCTACCTAAAGCATTTATTCTCTACTATTTCCAGCATGGAGGGTCTGTGGAAAGAGTCTGTGAGGAAAGTAAAATTTCCAGTTAACAAAAAAACCGAATTCCAGTAAGAGATTCCTTTGGCTGTTGCGTTGATTAATACGAAATAATTCTATAAAATGCCGTTGTTTGAGAGATCGAGTGTAGATAATGCAGGACAATAACATACATTTATATGTCTATATGTTTCAAAAAAAAAATAATAATATGCTTGTCTAATTTTTGGGAGCAAAGCTGAGGTGATAACAATTTTATTTCAAAAAAACCACAAAATTACTATGGTCTCCTGAAAGCTGCAAAACGTATTAAGGTTTTAATCAAAATTGAATATAAATTATATTAATATAATTGTAGTTTTGTGTCTCGATGTTTTTCCAATAAATGGAAGGAGCTATAGTTTAAACTAAGCCTCCTCTGAACGGCTGATCTCTTTTTTTACGAGGACCTTTTTCCATGTCAGAAATACACTCGGATGCGTTGGCATTCCCTGCCGATTAATTTTTTATTTAAATTAATTTTCTATTACTTTTTGGATGTTTGTCGTACCAGGATTTGGAACTCAGTTAAATGCTATGATCAGTATTTTAAATTTAGCCAAACTCAGCAACTAAAAGAATTTTTACGAATAGTTCGCCACCTATGCCTGTTCATTAAATCATTTTCAATTATAGTGGAATCGATCTTCTTTAATGGCGTATACTCCACTTACGTAATTAAATTTGAGTTAACAACAGCGCTCGAGTCAATTTTTTTTTTCTGTTTGTCGCCAATTGGCCTGTTCATTAGAGAGGAGATCTCCTTTTTCTCTGCTTCAACCCTCTCTTCATTCGCTGAACTTTGTCATTGTCGCCGTATATCTTGCGGCTATGGTATTTCCAGTACCCAAGTCACACAGGACCATAAATCTTACGCTAAACCTTTCTCTCGGTCACAGCTAGCGCCGGCTCATCAGATCTTGTTATTGCGATGGTGATGGCTTCGGCACCATAAAGCAAGACGGGAATGATAAACGACTTGGAGAGTCTGGTTTTCGTTCGTCGGGAGAGGACTTTACTTTTCAATTGCCTACTCAGTCCAAAGTAGCATCTGTTGGCAAGAGTGATTTCATCATAATTTTATTTGCTCAAGCCAAGCCAATAAAAAAGTTACTTGGTTTGCCTACTCTACTTTACTTTAATTTAATTTAAACAAAACCACTTTTTTTTGGAAAGTGCACTGATCGATTTTTTTTTTAACATTTGTATTCATTTATTGAATCTGCTCTTTTATCAGGAGCACCACATTGTTTTTATTCTCAAGATTTTCAATTGAAATATTTGTATTACAATATATCTAGATTTATCTCACAAGCTGTAGCCCTTAACTGTGCTCCACATCAAATTTATAAAAAAAAAAAACATTTGACCGATTTGTAAAAAAAAAATTCCTGGTAATAGACCAGAGACCTGGCAGCAAATTATTCAAGCTATTCTTATGCGTTCAACTTCAGTTTGCATATTTACGGTACCGAATGGTTCACCATTCTATTGAAATTTACGTGAAACACTTTAAGCTGTGAAGAAGTGACCTATAAGTAAGTAGATAGAAAGATAATATAGTAGAACCCATAATATTTTAAATAAGAAGACCCCTAACTGAGTTTTTTTTACCGCTGATTTCAAGACCAATTAAAATAAAAATGAGATAAACTCAGAAAGCCACAACAATGTGCGACCCGGTCTGAACTGATATACATATATTGAAGAGAAAATTCGGATATCAGTTAAATCAATCAACTCGGCCAATATGCACATATGTATCTATTGTACATATTTCCTAAATATCTATTGCCAATCAACAAGACATACTGCCAGCCAGCGCTGACCTAAAAAATAATAAATGTCCACATGGGTTCGAACATTTTTCAACAGTAAAACAGAGGCTAACGATGGACATGGATAAGCCAACAACCAATATGTAAAGGGTGATTTTTTAGCTATTATCTTTTTGGTAAAACTGGTTCAAACAACTGACGCACATTTAGTGTTTTGTGTCACTGTCAAACATCTTCAGTTTGGTCTATAATTTGACCACGAATGGTCTTAAAAACGAACAAAGCTTGCAAATTATTGAACTCTATTACGAATTTTGGTAAAAAGTTAAAAAGAAAGTTAAAAAAAAAATTATGTTCAGCGACGAATTGTCGATTTTGGAGTGAAGATCAGCCAGAAGCATTGCAAGAGCTACCAATGCATAAAGAGAAAGTTTCAGTTTGGTGCGGCTTATGTGCTGGTGGCATCATTGGACCGTACTTCTTCAATGATCATGCGAATCGTAACGTAACTGTGAATGGTGAGCGTTACCGTGAGATGATACCAAACTTTTTTTTGCCCAAAATGCAAGAGTTTGACTTGCATGATATGTGGTTTCAACAAGACGGTGTCACATGCTACACAACACGCCTAACAATGGACTTATTTAGAGGCGAGCACGGTGAACATTTTATTTCACATTCGGGGCCGGTCAATTGGCCGCCTAGATCAAGCGATTTAACGTCTTTAGACTATTTCTTGTAGGACTATGTTAAGTATAATGTCTATACAGACAAGCCCGCTTCTATTGACGCATTGGGGGACAACATTACAGCATTTATTCGTGAGATACCGGCCGAAATGTTGGAAAGTGTATGCCGAAATAGCACAAAACGAATAGACCATTTCAGACGCAGTGACGGGCAACATTTGCATAAAATAATCTTCAAACATTTAATTATATGGACTGTACTATAGATTAAAATGAAGATTTCATGCATTTTTGAATCTCCTGTTTTTTTTTTTGAAAGACCTTCCTATAGTTCTTAAAAATCATCCTTTATATCTGCATGAAAAGTTGTATAAAAGCTGTTGTAAAAAGTTCAATAGAGTCGTGGAAACTCTAGGGTCAAAGTAATACATATTTGAGAAATTAACCCAAGCTACTCCCAATCACATATCGTTCGCGGACCCACATCTGGCCGTAGTCGAAAATCTTTTAAAAGTTTTTTTTACGTTTAACAATAATTTAACGAACATAAACGAAATAGTATTTTATCAGAGTACTTTCGATGCATAGTTTCATAATTGACTTACCGTAAAACAGAATACAAAGCATGAAAAAGAAGACCTGTTTATAAGGGGTATGAAGACTAGTTAAATTGTAGCTCACAACTAGTACAATCGGCGGCAATGCAAATTTATATAAATTTATATGTTTAAATATAACTACTACTAATATGATTAATGTTAGAAAGTTCTTCAGAGCTATGATGTATTACGCTTTTGCTTAAGGAAAACTAAAGAAAAAGAAAATAAAAACAACTTAAACTCAATCCGAAACTGCTTGCCATAGACAATAAGGAATGTGGGTGCGTTTGTTGGTCATACTAACCCCCACACTCGTACAAAATATGTACGTAAATCATAGGATTAAAGCTATTTATCGACAGTGACTAATATGCTGATATTGCCAAGAAGATTTGGTGGAAGCGGAAAGAAAATAATAGCAAATACCAATAAGCAATTCTGGTCTATACGTACAATATTTATCAGGCTATAGCAGAAGAAAGGAAAAATTAATAAATGAAGAATATTTTTTCACAAAACTATAATACAAAGCTTTATATTATTTTTCACTTTCTTCAGTGAAGTCACTTTTATACTAAAACAAACAACCAAATGCACATCAAACCTCAAAAGAGTTTAGCTAAAGAATCTAAAAAGAGTGTTTTCAAATGGTTAATTATGACGGTATATAGTCCTTGTGTTATATATATATGTATACAAACCCAAATAATTTCTCACCTTACTTTGTTGACAGTTGAAAGATTTTTTAGTTGTTTATTTTTAACGTTGCATTATAAAGTAATATGTAAAAAATTTTGAAATATGGATTGTAATGCTCAGAGTAAGCTGTGAGAACAACCCTCTCTACCCTTCTGAATAGCACTCAAAAAAAAAAAAAACCTGGAGATTATGAACCCGGTTCCACAAACGAAGATGATTTAGCAGATGTCTTCCGTTTAAGAAGGAGTTCGAATAACAATTAACCACTTGAATGACAACAAAGCATCGAGCACTATGGACTACTACTCGTATTCAAACATGGCGAGGAAGAGCTGATAGGTGCATGCATCAGCTTCTTTGCAGAATATGCTCGGATGAAGGCATTTGAACCTCTGGATGTAAAAATTGAGAGCCTACAGTCTGTGCCAATTACCGTGGAATACACCTTTTCACTATAGAACTTTAGGTCCTATCGACTAAAGTCCACCGCCAATAGACTAAGTAAACCTTATCAGAAAGGCTTTAGACCTGGTAAGTCAACCATTGACCAGATATTCACCATGCGCCAAATCTTGGAAACTACTCCTGAAAAGAAGGACGACACGCACCACTTATCTGTTGGCTATAAGACGGCTTAAGACAGCACGAAAAAGAACTGGTAGTGAAGACTGGTAGAGTCCTGTCATCAAACAAACAGACATTGCATTCGCGACTTGGCTCCATTGTCACTGTTGACAGCCACAACTTTGAAGTCGTTTGTCTATCTAGGAACCAGAAATAACACCAATACGAACGTCAGCATTGAAATTCAGCGCAGAATCACTCTTGCCAACAGGAGCTGCTTTGGATTGAGTAGGCAATTGAAAAGTAAAGTCCTCTCCCGACGAACGAAAACCAAAATCGATGAGCTCCTCATCGTTCACGTCCTGCAATATGGTGCGGAAGCATGGACGGTGACAACATCTGATGAGACCGTGTTAGTTGTTTTTGAGAGAAAGGTTTCGCGTAAGATTTATGGTCCTTTGCACATTGGCAACGGCGAATATCGCAGAAGATGGAACGATGAGCTGTATGAGTTATACGGCGATATTGATATAATTCAGCGAATCAAGAAGTTGCGGCTACGCTGGCTAAGTCATGTGACCCGGATGGATGCTCGAGCAGTACCCGCCGGTGGAAGCAGAGGAAGAGGAAGACCTCCACTCCGTTGGAAAGGCCAAGTAGAAAAAGACCTGACTGTACTTGGTGTATCCAACTGGCGCCAAACAGCACAAAGAAGAAACGAATGGCGCAATGTTGTCGAATCGGCTATAATCTCGTAAGCGGTATCTACTCCGGTAAAGTAAGGAAGTTCATGATATTAATGAAAAGCGAAATAAAAATGTTTGTATAACTTTGATATGAATCTTGAGATTTTCCAAAAAATGAAGGGATCCTCAATTAATTCTGAGCCACTGCCAAACAGCCGAAGGATTTTTATTTCCTGTTAGAAATATACTCGGAGTACGTGACATTATTTGCCAAAGGGTGATCACAATTAGAAATTAAGTCTCTATAAATGTGGATGGTAGTAGAGCCACGTCACGAATCCTGGTCTTCAGTGTGGGGGCTGCCAAATTTTATTTAAAATAAAATTATAACAAAAAATCGTAAGCATAAGCAGTAAAAAATCGGTAACGGTTATAAATTAAGTGTATTAAATTGTTAAAATGCATGCTTTGTTCTTTTAAAATAGAACTCAGATTCCCGTTGCAATTATGAAGATTTTCAAAGCATATTTTAAGAAGTAAGTAAGTATAATAGGACGCCCGGAAAACGCTTCAGTGGTTAAAAATCGCTAATAATATATACATACCTATATATATTTAAATATATATACCGAGTAATTGCAATAAAATGTAATATTTTAACAATGAGTAAATTGCGAGCGTTTGAGTCATTTTACATTCTAAACTGTTCAATGCAAAACTTTTTTCTATAAAAAAATACTCGTAAAAAAAACCAAAAACTTTATTCACTTGTCTTACATACATATCTATATATACTATGTAAAAATTTGAGTAACGTGCAAAATTAAATTTCCACTCAAATCAATTAGCAACGGCCATAATGTTACTAAAACCCATAAAAATAATAATAATAAAACATAATAGAAGAAACCGCTTTACCAGGAATATCTGTAAAACAATTCACTGCAACGGCCGTTCCATCAGGTATAAAAAGAAAAAAACTAAACCAACTTCTTTGTGTTACTAACTTTATTACGATCATTGTCGTCAGCGATACATAAACTCCAGTACGCTGTACAACAAAAAATAAAACTAATTTACAATAATTAGCAAAGTTACTACCCAAAATCATTAAATATCACACATTGTTATATGCAAACAGCAATTATTGGCAATAAATAGTATTGAAAGCAGAAGTTGTACGAATACGCCGCTAGACTGATGTTTCTTCATGTTAACAAGCGCTGATGTCATCGAAGCTACGTTTCGCTAAGCTGTATAATCTAGACACCAATAGCTACTGCAATTCAATGTGGAAACTCCTGAGCATTTGCAGCGCCAGAAGACAAAGTATGAATATGAATAGCGGCAAATCTCTGAAGCCAATCGGATCGAATACGTATAGTCCATGATATACTGCAATTGAATACGATTATGGCTATTGATGCAGTCTCTGGTCAGCTTTTTGTTCCGTAAGTTTTTTCAAATCACTTCAACAATGTTAATAAAAGTTGTAAATTAGTTCAATCGTCATTGAATATAAATAAAAATGTAATTTTATGTGTTCAAGATTAGAATCTTGTAATTTATGCTATTGTAAATTTATATAGGAGTAGTGCTTATACAAATTAACAAAAAAAAAACTCTATAACATCACGGCACAAAATTCGCCTGAAAATTTATAATTGCAAATGTAATTAAAAAGAAAAAAATTGACAAATAAAATATATTTTATGCATAAAATTTATTTGTTTCTAATTTTACATATTTAGTTCACGTTAAAAAAAAATAAAATTAAGAAATTTTGCAAAACTTTAGTAAATTGAAGATTTAGTTTACAGTTTTACTTGCAATTCAAAGTTATTTAATATTTAATATTTAATATTTAATATTTAATATTTAATATTTAATATTTAATATTTAATATTTAATATTTAATATTTAATATTTAATATTNAGATATGCCGACCTTTACAAACAAATATAAGATTTTTACATATATATAACAAATTTATATATGTAAAAATCTTATATTTGTTTGTAAAGGTCGGCATATCTCGAATTGTAACCAGATTGATTTGAAGGCAATTCATATTAAAAATATCAGGAAAGATTTTGAGCAGCACAGAAGTATTAACAATAAAATATTAAATTATATATTTATAAATATACATAAATATATATTGTACATATATATATATATATATATATCGTAACCGCTGAAGGGAGGGACCTACAGTATAAACTAAGCCGCGTCCGAATGGCTGATTGTTTTCTTTTACGAGGAACCTTTATTTCATATTCGAAATACACTCGGCGGGGTGGACATTTCCTGCCGAGGGGCAACCGCACTGCAACTAGAAAATTCCACTTACTTTATTTTATATAAATTTATTTTTCATAACTTTTGGATGTTGGTGGCACCGGAATATGAAGCCGAGTCTTCCGAATGTCAGTATACAATGCTAATCACTCAGCTACCACTCGGCCGCTGTTATGTGTTAAACAATTTTATGTGTTAAACATAATTTTCAGCCTCACATACCCGAGCAAAAAAAGTTTATTTTTACTAAAATTATTTTTGTCCCTAAAATTTATTTTAATATTTTTTTACCCAAATTTCCGTAGCCAAAATTTTCGTATGTTCAAATTCATATGTTATTTCGCAGCAATTCAGGTTGCATAAGTACATAAATATGTACATCAGGTAAACGCATAAAATAATAGCATTTAAGTAAATATGTGCGTACATATATATATATGTACATATATGTGCCATTTGAGTTTTTTAGCCCTGTAAAAAATACTCAGGGGGAAAATACTTTTGCTAAACTGTGAACCAGCATAGCTGTTAATTGCAGTTACTGTTATTGCTTGGAGTTTTTATTTTTTCTGAGAGCAGTATAAAAGGCAAAACAAAAGACACAACACCGAATTTTTTTTTATTCGTCAAATGTGGTTTAATCTTGATTTTCAACTATGTAGAGAATATTATAAAAATTCGAACATAAACACAAACATAACTGAGTCAGGGAAATTGGTAATATATGGCTATGTTGGAGTTTTACAATCGTTCATATTTGCAAATGGAATAAGCAAGTGCTATCGCTTAGACAATAAACAAATCCTTATGGTTATACTACTTTGTAAAATATTCGTGATCAGGAAGCAGCACTGAAAGGCGTTCAAGCTTGCGTAAACAACTACACATAATCGTCTGCCCTTAAACTCTCTCAGCGACTTTTTTCCCGCCGTTTTGATTTTTCTTGCAATATTTTCATCTGGTTAATGTGACTCAAATGACTCAAAATACTTCCTGTAATGAAAAGAAATATATAAGGAAGATAGTTAGAATTAATAGCGCAACTATTATATTTCAATTAAAAAAAAAAAAGATCTTATGTAAATATGTATGTAAACTCTTGATAACTTTGTTATGTTTCATGTGAATGTGCGAATTATAAATTTCGAAGTCTGTAAAAATTAGTCTTCTATTCAAAAGTATATATGTATGTATATTTGTCATGTAGAAAATATTTTGATTTTTTTTTTAAATAAATAAAAATAACAAACAAAAAATAAAAAAGAAATTTTTTCATTTTTTTAAGTGATCTACCAAATTTCATTAGAGATGTTTTTTCCAAAAAAAAAAAAATATGTATATAATGAAATATCTATTTTCTTCTATAAAAATTGCAAAATTGCAAAAGTCAAGATAAAGAATTTCAGATAAAAGCATTTATTGTATAATCAAATTAAATAGAAAACACAATAAAAACATTAAATATCAATTTACTTAAATACTTGTTAAGTTACATTGATTTTATATATATTATATATAAATTTAATAAAAAATAAATAAATTTCACCAAAAAAAAAAAAAAAAATTAATTTAATAAACTAGTTTAACTAGCTTAAATTTAGGTAAATAACACCAAAAAGTATAAACTGAATTAAAATTAAACTGAATAAATAAAATAAATTAAATTAAAATAAATTGATTATTTGAAATAAATTTAAACGATTTAAATAAAAAAAGAGGTTATAACATAAAATAAATTTAAATTAAATTAACATTAACTAAGTTAAGTACAAATTATTAAAATAAATTAATAATTTAAAATGTGTTTAATAAAACAACAATGTTAAAAAATAAATTAAAATTCAGTTAAAAAAATTAAATAACATAAAACAAAATAAAACAAAATGAAATGAAATAATATTAAATAAGTTAAAGCAAAATAAAATTAAATTAAGGTAAAATAAATAAAATGAAATAGAAGATTTAAAAAACAAAGTAAAGATAAATTAAATTAATTTAAACTGATATTTTTATAATAAACAAAAAAAAATAAAAATAGCTTCAATAAATAAAACAAAAATGAAATATACTAAAATAAAGTAAAATTTGTATTTAAAATATCACATATATATTGCATTGGTTTTCTTTAAACTATTTACTCGTAAAAGACAATGTTGCACAGCATCTCACACTTACCAGTACTCAAAACTACATTTTATCTTTAAATATTTCCCAAAGTTTTCACTTAAAAATTATTGATTTAACAACATATCTTAAGCTTTGCTATAGATAACTTGACATACATTTAAATTAATTTGCTCTATGCCGCTATTTATAGGGGATCGCTCACCATCGACAATTGTTAAACAGTAAATGATTTAAGCTAATTTCAGTTGTGTTTGTTTATGTGAGATAAAAAAAAATGTTTTCAATAATAAATAAAATAGTACATAAGTAAGTAATAAAATAAAATTCCAATATCTGAGCAATTCCAGTAACTTTCCTTACTTTTTTTAAGTACAAAAAATGTACGTATGTATGAATGCTCATATATAAAAAATAAAGCAAAGAGGAATATAAATGCAAAATATTATGCTTTGAGCACAATGCTGAGATATGTGTCGATAAAACAGGGAATCGGATATTTGTTGAAGAAAAAAATTTAAAGAGCGTTTGCAGAGAGAAACATCTTTTTTTGTTGTTATAGATGTTGTATATGAAAATAATTTCTTGTCCAGCTGATCATTAGATTAGACGTAGATATCTGAAGAGAATTTTTTTTTCAATTTTCAAAAGAAAAAACATAATAAAAAATAAAATAAAACAAATTATATATTATATAATATGAAACACTATTAAATAGGAATAAATAAAAAAAAAAACGAAAAGAATTTTAAGTAAGCTAAGTACAATATTTTAAATTAATTTATATAAATTTAATTTAGAAAAGATTAAAATTAGAAAAAGTGTAAAACAATGTGAAATAAAATTAAATTAGTATTAATTTTGCAAACAGAAGAACTGGAGAAAAAAATTTACGAAACTTGAATTACACGCACGTGATTAAATTGATGAAATTAATTGCACCGCAATCCTTTGCACGTCTACCAGCTTGCGAAAATAATTATTTATATAACATTCCAAATAGCTGCTTCACATAAAATTTATTAGTTCAAGGCCGCTATTTGAAAGCGTTAATTTAACATTTATTTCGATATAAATGCATTCTTCAATAACTGAAAAAAATATATTATTGTTTTTTTTTAGTTTAATATTTTTTATTTACTTATTATTTTATTTTTTTGTCTTCGTTTTGTTTTTGTGCTATTTTTAGTAAATCTACAAAACACGTTGTAAGGCATAGATGAAGTAAGTCAGAAAGAATGCATATAATAAGAATTTCAAATAATAAGATATTCGGAGAAAATAATGTGAAAATTAGAACAAAAATAGCAAAAAGGCCAACCATGTTTAGAGAAAAAAATATTTGCTAAATTTTTATTCTCATTACTTATCCCTTTTCATTGTTATTTACCATGCCGATCTCCCTCACATTTCTCAATAATGGAGTTCTGAAAATGGTTTATCCTGGGACTTAAATGACTCTGGTACCATGGTTTGTATAAATATTACGCAAATAAATCTAAAAAAATATATTTACTATATAATATTTTTATTTTTTAACATTATCAATAATGGTGATGCGATATTTGGGAACTACGTCTGTGGAATTATGTATTTTGGTAAGGCGGCTATGTAGCTAACACATGCTCGTGGAGTTCATAAAACTCCCATTCAATTGGTGTAAACAATACAATAAAGCTGACTGAATGAGCTTAGCAAATCTTGCGTCCAAATTCAACAATTATAATAATATTCAAAAATAGTAAAAAAAAATTTAAAGTTCTCGCACTAAAAGTAAAATAAATTATAAAAAAATAAAAAAAAAAAAATAAAACAAAATTAAAAAATAAGAATTAAAAAAAAATAAAACAAAATTAAAAAATAAAAGAATGTTAAATTAAATACATAAATAAATTAAAATAAAAATATAAAAAAATTAACCAAAATATTTAAAGTGAAATAAAATAAATTAAAAGCAATTATTTCCTCAAAAAAAAAATTAAAATGAAAAAAATAAATAAATTAACAAGTAAAATAAAAATTATAAAAAAAATTCAATTAAAAATAAAACTAAATATAATTGAATTAAAAAAATTAAACGAAATAAACTAAAAAATAAAAGTATATAAAAAACCATAATAAAATAACATAAACTAAATTAAACAAAAAAAAAAAATAAACATATAAAATAATTATAATAAAAAAAAGTTATAATAAAAAAAATATAACTTCACTAAAATGAAACAAATTTAATTATAACATTATTATAAGAGCTCAAAAAAATCAATAAAGAAAATAAAAGTAAAACAATAAGGGA